GCAAAACCTCATTAATTCAAAGAACTCTCTTTTGTGATGTGTTAACATTTACAAATAATACAGCAGAGGGTGACGTGTATTGTCGCTGGTAATTGTACTCTTGTGATAATACATTTCCAACAGTTAACAATCAGAACATACATATACACACATAATAGTACCAAGTTTATTATTACATATATTAATATTGTATTGCTTTCGGTAGTATTTAGTTTCCATTAACAAATTTAGTCCTAAATAGAGACCGAAAATATGGAAGTACAACATGTGTAGTATGTAGGCCTTTCAAGACAGGCACAACAGATGAATGTACCACAGATTCAATAATTAACAGTTACCACACACTTATTTTGTGACACTAAATGGTTAATTTGTAGACCTTTGATAACTTATGACAGTTATCTTTACAGAAATCAATACGATAGTCATTACCCAGCAGTTCTGAGTACATCAGTGCAGTAATTTTAACATTAGTACACTTAGGCTGTGCTTTGTGTTAGCCTGATTACATACTCAAGCCTTTACAGTGAAAACCCTATTTATCATTTCCTTTCAGGGCAGTGGACTTGAATACTAAACTGAGGGAAATCTTATACAGAGGCAATTTAACATCAAGTTCATTGACTCGGGACCAACAAAAATGAACACTAATGAGAAAACCTTACACAGAGGTACCTCAACCTTAAACATCTTTCGATGTACAGAGCATGTCAAGTGCAGCAGTATGGGTGAGCTCTTATGCTGAACTGTTGTTATTCATATAAAGCAATTGTTTTGGTACTAAGTAAGAGAGGAAATGGTAGGCTATCGTTTTGTATACACATTGTCTCACTTTCTTCTTCCTGTGGTATTTGTATTACAAATTAATTCTCTGAAAAACTTTTATCAGAAGTACAGAAATGAGGACACTGTGTACTGGTGTGATGCATGTGACATAGGACTCTGAGAGGAGTGATTTCATGACTATTACACTAAACTCCATTTCTAAGGCAATATGATAATACCATTCATAATTTTTATGTGCTGAATATGTCAAAAATAATTTTAAAGCAGTGTGGATCAATACATCGATTCTACACACGTTTCTGAACATGAAAATTAGAGAAATAAAAATATAGTTTTCCCCAATTTATTACAGTTTAAATGAAATGCTGCAGTTTCAATTTTAAATATCGTCCATCCTCAGGAGTGAGTAGGAATTAAATGTCCTGCAGTACTGAAGGGTTAAATGGGGGTTCCACTGTGTTCTAATGCCTGAGACACAACTCAGACAGCTGTTGTCACATTATGAACAATGAAAGGTTTATAGTTTTAATAATGTCCTGAGAAATTAATGATGTTTTACTGTGTACGCTTCCATCTTGTACTTCAAGCAGGTGAAAACAGTATGCATCAACGTGTAGCAGCCTCGTGACATTGCCTTGAATTCAGGAAACCACAAGAACATACACCAGCCTTGTGTGAAGTTCTTTGATAAACAGCGCTCGACCAAATACATCATCCACAACATGACAATGTGTCAATCAGATAACAGTTTCTGAATCAACAACGCCCTGTACCTGATAAGCTGGAGGACCACTGTTCAGGAATCCAGAAGTGGGCCTTGTTTTTGCAATAGAGTGGTTACTGCGTCTATGTGTGTTAGTCACAGGGACTTGAGCTGTTGCCTGTCCCGCCATGTAGTACGCAGGTGTACCTCCTGGTCCAACATAACAGCTGATGGGCCTGGTGCCATGATAGTTTGAATAGCTAGACCTCGCTGATGATGGCCGATTATTGTAGATGTCATCGTCATCTAGAGACTGCACAGAGCTTTGCTGGTAGAGGGGATTAGTGTGTCCCGAGGCCTTCTTCCAATGTGGGGTGCTCGAATTAGACAAAAGATCTGCTTGCGAAGAAGAAGAAGGTTCAAAAATATTGAGACGTGTTGAGTCATTTGATGTGGAAGAATCAGCGAGTGACTTCTGTTGCTGCTGCTGTTCTATGAGGCGAGTAACTGGATTCTGATGCTGCAGCTTTGACCGACGACTTGATGCTCGCAGTGATGATCTTACATTGTTACTGTACCTGCAGACACAATACCGACTGTCAGTAGAGCTTCACACGCTGAACAAAAGAGACGAAGGGGATGAAGGAGAAAGAAGAAACAGGAAAGAAAGAATGGAAGAAATACAGAAAGACAGCTAGAATAAACAAGGAAAGAAGAGAGGAGAGAAAAGAAAGATAGAATTAAATATAAGAGGGCAAGTACACTCCCTTGGCCATCGTGATCACCTGACTTAACCCCCTTAGATATTGTATTATAGGGCTTGGGAAAAGATACCATTTATGCACCTCCTACACCAAACAGTAATGAAGTAATAAAAATTCAAATTACATGAAAAATACAGCAAATGGAAGAGGGTATGCTTAGAACATGGACAGAACGCAACCCACTGCAGAAACATACCTTACACTGGAGCGCTTGTCGTGGCAGTTTGGCAGAGAACTGCGACCAGTAGATCCGCGAGATATCACACTTCTTCTCTTGACACGGCGAGGTGTCATAGGACGAGGTGACAACTGGGGAGCAGGGACATGTGTTTCAATGTCATCCTCGAACTCCATCATACTATCATCGCCCAGTCCTCGGCCAGTATCACGGTGGGGACTAAATTCTATGGAGTATAGAGATGTCCGGGCTCCACCGGTCCCATTTCGTTTGGTCCCATACTTGTTAGCTTGCGCTACACGGACAAAGAACATGTATATATTCATAATCAAATGAAATTCATGTGTTTAAACAAGGGCTGTATTTAAAGAGGAAGGTCACAGGTTCACACATCTCATTCCGAAATGCTACGAATAATGTGACAACAAAACCTTCTGGAATAAATAAATTCTTTTCAGTTCCTTAAATTTGAATTAATTTATTATAAATTACAGAACTGTATAATTTAGTGACAATTTTCTATGCATCATTTCAGCAAATACAGATTTAAGGTTATCACACACAACATTTACAGTTTTGTATTTTGAACAAATGATAAACTTTTAAATGAAAAACCTGATGTTTTGCCATTAAACTCGCTATTAAACTGAGAGCTGAATATAGATGTATGGCCACCATACTGTTTAAAATGAAAACATAACAGGTATTTGCTCATTTTTTGAAGGTCTGTTTTCACACAAACTTACAGATTCTACACTAAGTAGCAGCAGAGAGGTTCCATGTTGATTTTAAAAGTGGTAGGGTATTAAAAAATGAAATGTAATATCATTCAAAGTAATTATGTTCATACCAGGATTCGTGAAAATCTATGATAAATGTTAGAAGGTCAAACACATCTGGTGAGGCAGACACTTGGACAGAGAGACATAATGATGTAATTTCTACATCTCTGATACTCACCAAGCCCTACTGATGTGTCCACACTATCATTCAGGTTTCTCGAAGCTACATACATACATATTTGAGATTTGGAGTACACATTTTGTCCAAATGCATCTTTTGCTGTTCTGTCCCTCTTGCTGGCCTCTGGAGACCTGGTCTCAGAGCAGCACTGTGAGTTTGATCCTCATTAAAATATGTGATAGCATAGTTGGTTGAGGCACTATGCTACAAGCCAGAAGGTAGCAGGTTCGAGTCCCGATGAGGATTTTTTTTTAAATTGACCTAACCCTTCCAGTCGCACAGTATGACCCTGGGGTCGACTCAGCCTTTAACAGAAATGAGTACAAGGGATCTTCCTGGGGGGTAAAGGGTGGCTGGTGCATAAGGCTGACAACCTTACCGTCACCTGTGATCCGACTGTCTACAGAAAATGTGGGAGCCTCGACATCTCACAACCCTACGGGCCTCCATGGCCTGTTACAGGGATATGTCCTTTCTTTTTATTCTAATTTTTCTGTTAGCAGAACTCTTTTTACCTCTACTAAAGATTAAAAACTTTGAGAATGAGCAGAATACCAGTACCCACGACCCTCCAAATTTGAATCCCATATTAAGTCGCTGGCTTCCCACTGTGGCGGCCTGGGTTCGATCCCGGGTCTGGTCAAGTGAGATTTGTGGTGGACAAAGTGGCACTGGGGCAGGTTTTCTTCTGAGTACTTCGGTTTCCCCTGCCAATCTTCAGTCCACCAATTGCTCCACGATCACCCTCTCCTATCATCTGGGGCTGGTACAATAGGCCAGAAGTGGCCACAGTACAAGGGACTTAGTCCCACCCCACTAGCAATAAAAAAAATAGTTTCTTGCAGAGTTGGAAATGTGTGGCGATGTGTTTAGACCCCATCTACTCAGTTCTGGAGTACTCCTTTGCTCTTTCAATGAAGCCATTTACAGTGCCTTAGGGTGTTCACTACCGCTATCAGTAACGGTACATGCAAGAAGAAATTCCTAAATTGGCATCGTAGCAATTTTGTTTATAACACATGTTGACCATTCCCTGGCTTCTTCTAGTGATCTCAGACATCTCAATACAAAACTGAATCAGAGATATAAAGATCCTTGACATCAAGGAACCATTTTGTGTACTTCATGTACAATTTAGTATCTTGGAGTCATGGATGTTCATTGTCTTGGCCTACGGTTTTCATGTTTTTCCAATCTCCCCCAAACAAATGCTTGAACACTAATTTAAAACAATTAATAAACAATCAAATTGAAAGACATGAGTTTCTCATGATGTTATCAAGATAACTGTCTTCTGGGACGTGACGCCATGCAGTTTGGTAGGTACCTGCGTTTTGGAGGTACATGCTGTCTCCATCTGTGTCTATGTACCAGAGTATACAGTGTCATCCTAGAACACCGTAATCTTGAAATCAAAATGGAAGTGCATGTACAGTTTTAAATTTGATGCTCTATGAATAAAACCCAATACACTCTATAGTAACACGAACCATCCACTACGATGCAAGTGTTTCAACTTCATGCTTTACTGTGCAACATAACTACCACAAACCAGGAGAAGGATGGAAACAAAATGAAGGAGAAAGATTAATTAAAAAGACAGGCAGAAAGCTTCATACATATTTATTAATAAGTTACAAAGCATTACATAACTCAAATGTAGGATATGTTACTTCTACAGGAGATATTACGACGTTACAGCCACGCACATTTTGAAAACACATTTATTACAGTAAGGCACGTGTTACAAATCAGACACAAGAGTGAGATTGAGAGTCTTGCATCAGTGAATATCAGAATCAAGTCTTTTCAGACGTAGCACTGTGTAGTCTGGTAGATATGTACCAATATTTTGGAAGACCCTGCTTCTCCATCTTCAGAATATATCACCTCTCATATGGAAGACAAAGGCAGCAGGCTGTTCTAAAATGTTGGCACCTACCAGATATATGTGTGTAGCAAAATAAAGCACTCATTTTGGTCACAGTGTAACTGCTCATAGATCAGAGCATGAATTTACAGTCTAGCAGGCTACACAGCGTCACATCTGAGAAGACGGTGATCTTTATGGTCATTGCCGTGAGGGCCTCAAACCTTGCGAGTTGCTATACAGCATGCAACCTTATATTCAGGCAATTAAAATGACTACTTACTTAGTAACACGCTCTACATTATGAATATAGTAAGGCATCTGCCTCTGGGGCCGTCCATTGAAAACTTTTATGCTTACATGGTTACTTTCTTTGTATTTAACACATTCACTGTCAATCTTGTCACCTGATGAGCTGACACCGTGTGCCACTGCCAATTCTGTCAACCAATGGGCAGACTTGACTGTAAGTGTAATGTAATTCTGTCCCACAGATGGCTCTAAAATGCTCATCAAAGCTCAAGAGAGTCTAAAGATATCGATTATTTTATGCGGTTGTTCTCTTTCAGTTTCATGTGTTATTTTACGATGCTGTCAGCAGCTAGACTATACAGCTTCAAATGGTAGGACAGAATGACGAGTTCAAAACGATTTGGAAGGAACTGGTTGTGGCCTAATCAAGGTACTATCTGGTAATTTACCCAAAGAAGCTGAGGAAATTTCACGAAAACCTCGAGTCAGGATAACTGACGTCCTGTCAGAGATTCAAAACAAGCATCTCTCACATACAAGTCAAGAATATTACCACTACACCAACCAGTTTGGTAACTTTTATTTCAAATGTAGTTAAGAGAGAACAAAATGGCTGACCCAGCAGGTAAAATCCAAGTATATGAGCATGATGGTGAATGTGTTAACAAGTAATACGAACGCTTCCCCAAACAACTCTGCCAAGGGGATCATATTTCAGTTTAAAATATTATGAACAGACAGAAATACCTCACATATAAATAAGACCTTGCAGCAAGAGTAAAAAACCTAAAATAATAAAATCAAATATATACATACACTCTTAGGCATGTGACCATAAAAACTGAATGTGTATAAAGTAAACAAAATTTGGCAAAACAATGTTCATACCCTGGAACTTCCCAATCTTAACACCCTCACACACCTTCAGTACACAGGAGAGGTAGGGGGAGAGGAGACAATGGTGGATTAGGGGGAGGTTAAGAACAGGGAGAGAAGAGAGCAGAGAAGTGAAAAATAAAGAAGGGAAAGGTAGCAGTAGAATAGAAATCACTTGACATAAGAGAGGGTGAGATGAAAGAGGATGGAAAGGAGGAGTTGGAGAAAAGGAGATGAAAAAGAAGATTAGAAGAAAGAGGAACTAGGAGATCAGAAACAAAGAGGAGGAGAATAAAACTGTAAAGAGAAAGTGAAACAGAAGATAATGAAAATAACTTGGGGTGTGAAAGGGTTATCACAGCTTAAAAAAATATATTCAGCCTTTGTATTAAACAGTATAAATATAAAAATAAATGTTATGATAAACCGTCAACATATTCTCGCATGCAAAGCTTGTTTAGTCTCATGTGACACAGTTGAAATAAACACACAGTTATTTGTCTTAAAACAGAAAATCGGAAGGCACGTATTGGAGGGGGGGAAAATGATGACACATATGGCAGTAAATTCATGGCACCAGGTTTAGATTTATATATATATATATATATAATGAGCATATACACGGCATGAGCGGGACTCTCACAATATATGGTGTTCACTCCAATATTATCAGCAACGGAAACTTTGCTGACATGTTCATGTTCTGAAGGCCACTGCGCTTTCTACTCTGTCTTTTGGCTTTGGTGCCCTGAAGAGAGCCCGGAGAACAATGTGCTCCACATGCCAAATGGGTTAATGGATGTCCGGGTCACTGAATTTCGCCCTTATGGAAATTTAGGATATATTTTAAAATTTTTTATACAGCCAATGCAAAATAACAACAAATTCAGGGAAAACTATATTCTTACAAAATGGATTTATGGTTAAGAAATTAAAATTTCATACACACATGAACTCTGGTGACACAGAGAAATGGCTGATGGTAACAATAAAATTTTTTTTTGGAATATACCAGTATCCTGAGGGGTACAGAAGTGTTTTACTTCAATTGTGAACACAAAAATTTCTGTAAGAACACATTTCTATAACATGGGAATGAGGGGAAGATAATGGAATTCCACTATGCGGACATATTTTCAAGAACACATCACTTCTGTGACTTGGGGGTCTGCCATATATCAAATATAATACACAAAAGCATAACAAAATTCAATCTGAAAAATTAAATTTAATACACACTTACAAAGGAGGATTATGAAAAAATGAACTATTTTTATAAAATTTCTGATTTAAGTGTCTTATTTTATTGAGGGAAAAAACCTTCTGAAAAAACTGTAAATATAAATAGTGCAGAATATCTATAACCACTCTCCTTAATGGATATAAAAAATACATTCACGTATCGATAGCACATTAAATAAGTTTGTACAAAATTATGAATTTCTTTACAAAAGTGAACAATTGCCAAGATATTAAAAACTGTGGCTGCCATAAAATTTGGAAAAGGAGCCTTAGTTTATCCTATATGAATAAATTAAAATAGATAATTAACTGTACAGAATGTTTCATAACCATGCAACATGAATTTATCCTTTGCCTAAATGTAAGCAACAAGTTTTACATGTCTGATAGTCTTTTATCTGTGACATGCAGTGATGTAAAGGTTTGTGGATAAGTACTGGGCAAAATTAATGGAAGGATTTATGGTTAATAAGTACTAATTCCTCGCCCAAGATACAGTTTATTTCTTTGCCAGTTATCATAATATACGAGACTAGCAGTTTAAACTTTCAAGAATGAGTAACACTCAAATACTGTACGCACTGTTAATTTGAGTATGAGTAAATTTCTTGTAAGCATATGCCATCTACAACTGTGAAGGAACCGCATCCACGGAGAAATGCTTTTTCATTAATAATAAAGCGATCAGAAGGGAACGAGGGTTCGAATTGCATCCGTAAACTCTATATAGCAATACTCGCAAATCTCTTTAACAATGCACAACTTTTGTTAACTGATATGACTATTGTTCATATATCCTTCCATTTATTGGTTTTCCTAACATGTCCAAATTCTTACTGGCTGGGTCTTAGATATGGAACTTTTTTTGGATCCAGGAAGTCCTTTTGCTAGTTTACAATCTATAATGTTAAAGGGCTTGGCATTTGTCCAAAGACTGTCTCTGTTTTTGATCTCATGACAAACAGGGATTACTTTCCCGAACATTATCAAATGACAAACTTTAATGGAGATGTGACAATGACAGTCTTCTGGGATGCAGTGGTGTATACTGTTAGAAAGACACTACCATTTTGGAGGAAAATGCTGTCTTTATCTTCAAGGATGAAGAGTTGGTATCTTTCTACCAGACTACACAGCATCACATCCCAGAAGAGAGTAATCTACATGTTCACTGTGTGAACGCCTCAAATTTCATATAGATGTGATGATTTTTCTTAGAGGAAGTGCCCAAATTTCAATATTATTTAAATGTTTTGCCAATTCAAGGGCTACAAATAAGAAGTGATGGGGGATAAATGTTCACACAAATGACAATGAAAATAAAATATCCATATAAAAAGAAATGTAATATCCTGTAGAATGAAAAGCAGAACTCACTTCAAAGCCATATGAGATCTGTGTTCAAACATACTCTGAATTGTGTGTCGGAGTGTAAAGGGACTTAGGACGAGGTTGCATGGCTAGTGGCTGATTGTGGGACATGGCAAGATGTCGCTCTGTACAACTGCAGTCCCACATATTCACAAAAGAATCAGAGTTATAGAGACGTATTCTATCGGTGCCTCTCAGCTGTAATGGTGTCGTCTTAATTTTACCGCTAGGTGACTGGGTGAGTTTTGAGGGAGAGGGGTAATGTTGTTTTGCATGCTGAGAGGGAACGGGTGTGTAGCTGCGTACGTACATGGGCCGCAAGGCCAGGTGCTGGGGGCTTTTCGCCTCAAAACCATCCAGAAAATCAACTGCAAAGAAATAAATGTAAAAATAAAGAGAGAAAGCAGAATAGGTAGAGGAATTATTATGCAGAACAACTGTAACCTTAGAACAAATTTTCAAAAATGTTACGCCTTCATTAGGAATTCACTGGGTCCTATTTCAGACTTCAGATGACACCGCGCAATGATATCCTTGCATTTTTATCGTTTGAGAATAAACAATTTTAAATCGAGCTGTACCAGGACTGCCAGCTGAACTAACTCACAGCTATCATAATTAACAGAGGATAACTTCATTTTCCAGTACTTTGCATTAAAAATATACAAAAATGTGCTTTTTTTTTAGAACAGATTATTATCTCACTGTTCTTGTTTTTTGGATTTCTGGATTATGGAAGTTTCCTATTACAGAAATTGTAAAGTGACCATAAAATTCATGCAATAACTTCATGTTTCTAGTGTGGATATGTATACACAAAAGCTACTGATAACATTATGGATGCCAGTATTATTTTGGGACAATTTCACAGATATTTTGAAAAATAAAGAACAAAACCAACTGAAACAATGTTACTGGCCACAATAAACACTAACACATTCTTTGTAAGGATGAATACCAAGGGTATAAATGTATGTATGACACAACGTAACATTCTTGAAGTTTTGTTTCAAAGTAACAAGGTACAAGATAAAGAAGAAGAACCTCAAAAGTCCTGCAGATAAAAGAAATCATACGCATAAATTTGAGAACCCCAACCTAAAAACTTGGTATTACCAACATTACCTATGAGACAAATCACATGATTAAGTACAGAGCAGCAAGAAACACAATTCAAGCAATGAGCAGAGAATCCCAAAGGTACATACATTCACAAAAAGATAAAAATAACAGCCACTATGAAAAAATAATAGTAACCTTCATCCGGAAATTGCGATCTACTTGTTCACTTTGACAAGATTCATAAAGTAATTCTGATAACGATATCTAGAAACGTTTACTTAATTTTGAGACATCCACTGCCGGAAGCAGTGAATGTTATCATGTGCCAGCATGAATACATCAAGTGATGTGCTGTTTCCAGTGTGTATGTAAATACCATTTTTTCCCTACAGATGTCACTCAAATGCAAATGAACTTTCAGTGTAGCTTCGTGAAATTCAACAGAATAGTAATGTACAGCAATTATTAACTGTTTTTCAACTTAAGCTCTTCCATTTCTGTTTGGAACATAACTAAGTTCAAAATTCAGTTTCTGTGGCAAGACGGCTGCTCAGCAGCTAAAACTCCCGGTATGGGCACACAGCAGTAAATGTGTTAGAGATCAATGTTTTAGACTTTAGTTCAGAAATATCAGCTGGAACATATGGGCTAAACACCTTTTCACAATTCCAACATGAAGAGGAGTGGAAATAAAAATTTCCAGGGCAACTGAGTTAACTTAAATCCCAGTGGCTACTATATGTCCCATCTGCTTTAACACCCAAAAAAAATTCTTCACTTTGTGCACACATTGTATTTATGTATTATGTTTGATTCTCAGGACAAACGTAGATTTACTCTCCTGTCCATCATAAACCAGTTGGTGTCTATGAAAGGGAAAGAGTGGGAAGAGTACCATCTTGTGGGATGTGAACATTGTGTGGTCCAGCGGAAGTTCACTGGCGTCTTAGAGGAACATACTACCTTTGCCTTCTGGGTCAAAGACCAAGCCAAGACTGCAACCAGTAAGATGTGAGATGATCTGTTGGTTCCATGCTTGGCTTACTCTTCGATCCTGAAGATGGAGTCAGAAAGTTCCTCTGAAATGTTGGTGAACTTCTGTCACACTATATGGCATCATATTTTAGAGCTCAATACTTTTTACAGTCGGTGCTGTGAAAACCTCGAAATGAGATGAGATACAGTGTGTTTCTCCATGGGGTATAAACCAAATTTTCAAGCGTTATTCGGATGAATTTCAGCTTCAGAGACTTATCAATGCCCAATCAAGTCAAAGATACAGAATCTAGTCAAAGTGGCATAGAGTAATGCAAAGAAGTCATCACCACAGAAGATAAACCAGCAAGCATAAGCAAAGTCTAACAGTGAACTACTGAACTTAATGCACTTCATCACTTTTGGGAGTCTTATGTAATGTCTTACAAAATATATAAGAGTCTCATCGTAACACCTTTATAAACAATAAGTGTTTGCATTCAGTAAATGAACATGTCAGAATAAACACATCACAATGAGATGCCATATAAATGACGACAACAACAGAGGTAATAGACTGCACAACTTACCACACCATCTGTGGGTCAAATCCACCAATGAAATCAACTGAAATAAATACAGTATAGAGTCTTCATCCAACTTTCTACCCCAATTAGGTGAGATATCAGAATATGTCTTAATCATGTACTACAATTCACATTCACATCAACAAAAATTTCTCTTCTTTCACTGATCAGCCTTGTTACACTAAGACAAACCTTGCCCTTGAAAAAGAATTAATGGCACATTCAAATAAAATTAGGATGAATTTGCTGCAAGTTACAAACAGCCATATTTCATTTTCGCCCTCGGCTAAAATGGCCAACCAACCAGCAATGTATTTATTCACGGTTTATTTAATGACGATGTCAGAAGCTCGAACTATATAGTGTCAGATGGTACGATGATTAATTAACATGAAGTGCAAGGAACCCAGAAGGAAATAGCCATATCCTGTTTCATGGTACAAACCCAGCACTCGCATGGAGAGCCTGAGGAAAACTATGTAAAACATTAGTCAGGATAGTTGGCACCCCAGCCAAAATTCGAACACAAGTCATAAGTATTACCAAATCTAGTACACGAAAAATAACTCCTAACAGATAATAGCGACCTCTTTATTTAGGGCTTTGGCAACAGCTCCTGCATAAAATCACAGTAATGGGAGTTCCAACACAATGAGACCTGAAATTCATACTGTCAAGTTTACCGTACTTGAGGAGAGAGATCGTTATACGAAAGATGTTGGCCCATATCATTCTTATAAAGCCGCATGCAGTCTAAAGTGTGTGATGCCATGCATGCAGAAGAAATATTTTCATTTTGTACATAACAAAGTTGTACGACACATTTGTTCAACAGGATATGTGACTGTAAAATGTACTTACAGCTGTCATCTTCTTCCAGGAACACATGGCTTACTGAGATGCCAACCACACTACCCAGAACCTGGTGAAGAACACAACACATTTTGAGATATGACATTATCATAGCAGTGACTACAAAGATTAACATCTTGGAAACAACACCATGTATTTTGGTACACAGGTACCAACATAAAAAAACTGCTGTCCCCAGCTTCAATTTTATTTATTTATAATCTACTTAACACTGATCACAGAGGCCACGCAGTCTAAGGTATGAACTGCCTTTGCTCGCTTGAATGCTAGGATCATGGGTTCGAATTCCACTCATGGCTTGGATGTCTGCATGCCATGAGTTTNACCCAACAAAGGGCTGCAGAGTCATAATAATATATTTAACGATGCTGTCAGTAGCTTAGAGTACATACCACCGAATGGCAGTATGATTAGTGAATAATAAATTTTAAAGGACATAGAAGGAAGTGGTCATGACCTATATATGTAGGATCCTACACACTACAATGGCATTTGTCAGAAGGGAGCAAGGAACTCTATGAAAACCCCTTGGTCAGTATAGCCAGTCTCCAGGCCAAGGTTTGAGTCCAGGGCCTTATGAATAAGAAACAGACATGCTACTCATTCCATCACTATGTTTCAGCCTTTATCATCTGGGCAGAAGAGTAAAGCTCCTCTACCTTGAAGACAGGGACAGACGCCTTCTCTGCAAATTACACCACATCATACTCCAACACATCTTACTGAACTTTAGCCATGTCAGTTTCTGTAGATGGGCCTGTCTCACCTCTCTCAAAGCCTCGACTGTGGGGACCCACAACACATTCGAGCAACCATGTGACATGTGTCCTCCATTTCCTGCTGTGATCAACTGAGGGGGGAAAAAAAAAGGCTCCACTTCTTTTGGAGACCAAAATATTTGTCTCGCTACAAAATTAAAAAAAAAAAACTGGCTATTCCAGGGTAGAAGATGTAGGCAACAGTTTCCTCAAAATGTTACTACCTCTCTACTGAAGTACATGGTGTCTCACCCACTGCCCCACAAACTTCAAATCTCACTCAAAGAAGCTCAGCATATGATCCTAACCTAAGGAAGTTGAAGCAAGCAGATGTTAATACCATATTTCTCCAAGATCCATTCTAATAATATCTTTCTATCTATCTTAGATCTCTTCCTATGAGGTTTTCCCACCAGAATATTCGTTTTTCCCCCAAAATGATGTATCAAGCACCCAACTTACTGCCAAGACACACTGAAGGGCTGCATGGAGTACTTCAACGTACTGGTAATCCAGAAAGCAGCCTGTCACACGTTCAGGCCTAAGTGGCCGAGAAGGATCCGGGTCTACCTCTGATGTAAGGTTTGTGGGATATGTTGGCTTGCAACCCGCTCCATTGACTTCCCACCAGCTCACGCTGCCAGTGCCAAGGTTGAGCACATCACTGTCCTAACGAGAGACAACAACATCTGCATTAGCAAACATTAACCAACTCAGTGCAGGCCTAAGGGCAGAAGTGTGCTGGGCATTACCAGAGGGCTGCAACACACAAGGTCTTTCACAGAAAATTTCTTCCCCACTAGCATTAAAGTGAATAATTATGCATTACAGCACTTCAGAGAAAATATATCAGCAACTTATACAACTGGTTAGGTACCAGCAGTTTCATTTTTGGAAGAGGAGGGGATCATCTCCTGCTCCTGTTAACATAAAAAATTATAATTTCTCTGTATCTTACCCTTTAAAGTAAACATTTCTTTATCTGAATTTTTTTTAATAATATAGTTTGTTTCACCCAGGATTACTGAAGCTTCTGAAGTCGGTATAAGTAACAAGCTATGGGCTGGGGCTTGATTCTTGGTGGAGGCAAGAGATTTTTCTCTACTAAGTATCATCCAGACTGCCTTTGGAGCCCACCCAGTCTGCTAACCAGTAGTTACTGGGGGGCTCAATCAGTGGGGGTAAAGTGGCCGTCTAGTTCTAAGTTTAAGAATGCTTGGAGTTATATCTCTACTCCCCTATATGTCTTCATGGTGTAATGCTTAATTAATTAAACACAGGGACACTTAACTTTTTTTTTACCGAGTTCCTGGACTTTGTCTATCATCTGATATTCTAAAAGAACACAACAGACAGAAACTTAGTAATCCTGAGCGCGATATGGCATCGTCAAAACCTTTTAGAGTTGATTTATGGTTTATTTATTCATCCTTCGTTCATTTCATGTCACAGTAAGAGGAGAGCAGGACATTTTCCGGAATATTAATACGTATCTACCGCACTATGCAGCATCACATTACAGACAATTTTGAAAAATTTTTCAACTGCCATCTTCATGATGGGGTTAACTACAATTCTCATCAAGGAACATTGCTGACACTCAAGAACTGAGATGCCATGGAGATTTCTGTTACGGAGAGGTTCATTATACACAAAATTTACTGACTGTCATGAAACAAAACATGCAGTTCTGCCCATGCAATCCAAATTGTGATAAAATACAGTGTAATAATGTGACTTACTCTGTCCAGTGCACCAACACTCAGGTAGAAGCATATCACAAAGACATTCCATCCCAGCCACAAGATACCCCAAACTGTATACTGCAATCAAAACACAACACTTATAACCAAAACTGTATCAGTGAACAACATTTTGTGGCATGTGCTATATGTCATGCCCACTTCATTCTCATTTAGTAATACCAACTGTACTAAGTCAAGATAATGGCCTGTAAAGAAAACAAAATAATACTACATACCGTAATTATATACTTGGGACGATACTGAAATGTGCCGAAGAAGCCAAATATGACAAATATTATGTGGAAGAAGTTGGCGAGGATGGGGGCCCACATATAGCCCAGGAAATCAAAAACTTGACGCTCCACTGTTGAGACCTGCAACAGGGAACATAAACTGTGGACTTCATTGTTTACACGCATGCATGGGCACCAGTGGTAGAGGAGGAAAGCCAGATGTCTGCCCCCTTTACTGAATTTTTGAAGAAAAATAAAAATTGATGAAAGGAGGCTGATATATCAAATAAAAAAGCTATCACTGTAACAGGTCGTGAAGGCCCATAGGGTTGTAGGATCTCGAGGCTCCCACATTTTCTCTAGACAGTCGGCTCACAGATGGCGTTGAGGTTGTCAGCCTAAAGTGGTGGCTGCCCGTTAGCCCCCAAGAAGATTCTTGGTACTCATTTCTGTTAGAGGCTGAGTCGACCCCATGGCCATAGTGCGGCTGGAAGGATTAAGTAAATTGAAAAAATCCACCTTATTGGGACTGGAACCCATGACCTTCCAGCTTGTAGCACAGTGCCTCAACCAACTATGCTACCGTGTGTCCCCAGATATATCAAATATTAACAATAAAAAGAAAAGTACTTAAAATACGATTCTTCTGTCCTGAATACTCCAGGTTGATCAATAAAAGTACACGTAGTACGAAAAGGATATATAAGCCAATTTTCTTGCTGGCAAGAAATCAAAACGGAAAGGCTGTGGGAAGATAGAAGAGGTTGAGACTTAACCTGTTGCCCTGTGTAGGCTGGAAGCATGAGCTAGTGAATTTGGGGCAGAACTCTCTTTCTCCATGTCTTGTATATCCTAAACGTTAGACAGAAAAGTGGAAAAACAGAAAAATGTTTTCAGTATTGTGTGTTAGATACAACTGATTAACGATTACTGTTTTTAATATTACTACAGTCTTACACATAAAGGGGAGGATAATATTAAAAAGAATACATGTAAAAGAAGTAGTGAAGATAATGTGAAATGGACTGAACTAGCTCAAGATGTGTCTAATGGCAGGTTTTTGTGATAAAATGTGGTAGCTTTAAGGCTTGGCAGTAGGAAAGTTAATAATGAATACTCCTACAAGATTTGTTTGTTTTCATGGCACTGATGATGTGAAGCCATTTATTTCAGTGGAATGTTACCAGTGTTTTGGGGGAACCTGCAGTCTCCATCTTCTCAACTCCTCTTACACCCTGAAGATGGAGGAAGTATGTTCCTCTGAAACAGTCTACTGAACTACATGGTGACACATCCAAGAAGAAAGTATTCTTCATGAATTCTCTTTTCCATTAATATTTGGATTCTCACATTAATACTTCTGTAAACTAATTCTGTGGCATCTCCTTGAGAACCTAACAGTTCCTCATCTGGTCAAGAAATTCTCTGCCTTTAATGGAATCCAAAGTTTCGTTACTGTTTTCACAAAAGTGTCCCAAATAATTTTCTTGTAGAAGATCAGATAGGCAGCACCATGGACAAAAATAGGAAGAAAATGATGCTTAATATAAACGTTGACTTGCTACTAATCTTGGGAACATGAACTCAGAGTAGCAGACGGCACGACCATCAGGTACAGTATACACATGAACAATGAGACACATAATAACAGGTAACAAACACATAGCTTTTTAACAGGGGTGAACATTATTTTGACTCAGAGATTTAGAGGCCACACATCTGCATCAAATTAAACTACAAAGTTTATCCTTTTTACACAGAGAAAGCTGATTACACATAATTAACCCTTTAAAGCACAAGGTTCTACCTGTGATTATATAAAAAAACTCTGCATTTTGCCCACACAGTGGATTTGTGTGTTTCACATAATTATCAGAATAAATGGCGATTATCTCCCTAAACACATCAACCAAATTAGTCTTTGCATTTGAGAAGGAATATGTTTCCTGTGAGGTAGGGACTGAAATTTTAAATATTACTTACATAAATTTCAGGTTTCAGAGAGTTAATATGAGTTAAAAAGGGGTATAATGCCAATATAACAGAAATGTTCTATTTTTAACATTATTATAATCTTATGGCTGATTACATCATGAGTAGTAATATCTTCTGGGAGGCAACACTGTGTGGTGTGGTAGAAGTTGTGGGCTTCTGTCAAAATAAAATGTATTACAGACAAAAATATAGTATTCTTCTGTTGTAATCTTATTACACTGCCATGGGCAAATCTGAAAGTGTTGCCAGGACGAGAGGCCAACTTCTGTTCACCCCTGTTCTACAACATTTATACAGCTGTGGGAAACACAAGTGATTAACCTTGAAATTAGCTGGCAGTGTGAATTCTCCCATGACATGGTTAAACAACCAGTGCTACATGGAGTGCATACATTTAAGGTTTGTCTTTACTTATACCATAGAGAAGTTTGTAACTCAGCTCTGTATGGAATCGTAAGATTTGAAACCCCCACACCTGTGACTACGATGATTACTGGCTCATACAATGTGACACCATGCAGTCTGGTAGATACTTGTCAACATTTTCGAGGAACCTGCCTCCATCTTCAGGATATGCTTCTTCCTTTCTACAAGTGTGGCTCTTACTAGGGCCTGAGGATCACAATTATTTTATGCCAAGTCTACTGGTTCAGACATTGTCCACCCCTTGTTCCTGTCTGGCTTCCTTTCCTGTTCTGATGATGGGGGCGGTAGGTTCTTCCAAAATGGCGATAAACAAGTACTCAACTACATGGTGTCACATCCCAGAAAACAGCAATCTTTACGGAATTACAGCACCTACCTGTAATATTGAGAACATGTCTAATGAACCTTCAGGTTCCATAAAAAGTAGGGAATTTCTTGATAGAAAAAGTACAGAAGTAGAGCTAAAGAAAGCTGTCCATGTACTTGGTTAAACACCACCTCTTTGAAGATATATGGGGGGAGAAGAGGTATACCTCCATGCTTTAACCCTGGCACTAGATGAAGGTGAATGGTTTGCTCCATGCCCAGGACACGTTACTCCTGGAGAAAGTGTCTCTACTACCAATCAGACAGGAGGGTTAGATAGGGTCTAGGGCTGGTCTGGGGCCACCTGTAGATGTTGTTCAAGCAAATGCACTGTACATATAATGACCAATGTTTTTCATATGCCAGTATAGCTCATACACTGTACATATAATGACCAATGTTTTTCATATGCTAGTATAGCTCACACCCACTATATAAAATGACCAACGTTCTCCATATGCCAGTATAGCTCATTTTTTTTCCTTGGCACTACAGCCCCAGTGGGCCTAGGCCCACCTCCATGAACTCCATTCACTTTGGTTTTTCTAGACCTTACACATATGGTAGGACTCCTTGGGCGAGTGATCAGTTCGTCGCAAGGCCTATACCTGTAGACAAACACAGAACAACGCACACAAACATCCATGCCCTGAGTGGGATTCGAACCCACGATCCTGGCTTCCGAGCGAGCGAAGACAGTGCATGCCTTAGACCGCTCGGCTACCGTGACTGGCATGCCAGTATAGCTCTACCTTTACCTTTTATATGGACAAACCAGAAAACAGGCCAATTATTTCATACAATATTTCCATCATGAACACTGACACTAGCTGCATGCACACACCAGGCAAACAACAACACAATTACACAAGCTGGGTGCTGGATCTGCAGCCAAACGGGCATATATAAGAGAAATCAACATTCACACCAACACCCATGAACTACACGAAATATGAACACACCCATGCTGCCGAAATTGCTGTGAGGTCACATAAGAAGATTGGAATTAACTTCTTTTTAATTAAATTTAATATTATTCACCTATTTTAAAATTCATTTTTAATTTTAATTAAGGAGTACTGATAACTAGCCACATGCAACTGACATGCAGTACAATAAAACAGTTTAGCATAGCGACAGACACCGGACAATGGATATACAACACATGTAATGAATGACGAATTAAAGTGACTGTAATCTTTTGTTACATTAATGACAAAAATATATATTGTATGAAATAAGTGATATATTGGTGCAACAGGATGCTTAAATACAGTATCAGAAAATAGGCACATGTTTGGTGTGATTTGGGGGCGGGAATAAGTACACCTGTTTACAATTTTACTGGCATTTTTTAGGTGCAGGAAATGAAAATATACATTCAAACAAAATGTTGTTTATGAAGACTAATATTATTTATTTATTTACAGACTATTTAACATCAGCAACTCTGATTATACAGTGTCAAGAGACTGAATATAGCAAATAATTAATTTGAAAGGTTGCAGAAGGGAACAGTCATTAAATAATTTTAAGGTGCTACTTCAGCATTTGCCTGGAGAGTCTAGAGAAAGCCACGAAAAGCCTCAACTTAATTTAAAGGGTTAAAACTCTAGAAATGACCTTTCTCTGATCAAGCTGACTTCATATGCCTAACTAAAATGCGTTCACCTTCTGCAAAGTGGCTGCAAAAACGAAAAAAAGCACAAATATTCTTTATATCTCTCAACATGCCAAGATTTTGGGTTGTTTCTCATCTTATAGGCCCCTTTCTGGTGAGAGCTAATTCTGCGGGGCCAAGTTGTATTCTGCACTTTTACTTTTACAACACTATCTTACCAAAACATGAGGGATGAAGATACGCCAAAGGACAAAGTGGGCTTATATACAATAGTTTAATACCTAAGCCTTAGGCATACCACTATCAAAAACATGCAACTCCTCGCAAGTGGTCTTCATGATTCTCTACAGTATCCTGACCTTCTGCACAGCATTTCAAAATAAATATATAAAAAACTCACTAGCTGCAATATGCATATTGTCAACAGAAAATGTCGCCGCGTACAAATTCCCATGTCATTTGGCCCCCACTTCCGATCCCGCACTTCTTCAAAATATCACCTTTCAGTCATACATTGCGTACTTCCATGGACTAATGCCAAACCACAATTAAAACAAGGCACACATCCTTACACGGCACCTAACACTTGACACCGCATTCACAACAATAACATACACTTGTTCTCACACGAAATTCGGAATCACTGTCGCCAACATAAGTCATATATTTACTTGCAAAATATGCACCGCCAGATATTAAAAAACCAAAGCTGGCTTAATAATAAAGCAAAATAACTTTGTAATATTCACATAAAATATTTCATATCACATTTATAATAGCAGCTTTTGAGTCTTTAATCTGGAATGTCTCCATTTATTGCTGGAATCGTGGCTAACTTGCGATACAGACGCCGAGGCATATCTGCGCAGACGTCAGAGTACAGCAAGTGTTGCGTGGATTCGTTCCGGAGACAAGTGAATGCTATTAACAATGATACAAAAATAGTATAATACACAAATTCCAATCGTAATCTCATCATTGTGACTAAATTTCTCTAAAACAGTTTTCAGTTTGACCTAAAGTCGTTGGCATATTTAATTTCATAACTTCCGGTTAGAGACATAAGTAAATGATTGTCTCGGTAAATGTAGTGCGAAGTTTTGTAGTGAATTTCGTGCTGTGTTTATTATAAAGGGGAATACGTCGTGGTATAGCTAAGTGAATACTACTGCGTCAAAGATATAAAATTCGATTAAAGATGTCTTCGATAGATCGTTTTTAGATAAGACTGCTTATTGATTAATTTAGCCTGGTAGGAACCGACCGACCGCATGCTTCGTAAAATAGAGTACAGCAGGCCAAATGACGGAGTAAAGGAAGTGGAAGACTATTTCATATTTATAGAGGAGAAATCTCGCTTTGCGAGCCTTCATCCGTTAAAAAATGTCAGGTGATGTACAACCGAGGAAACGGAAGGACAAAAGGCGGAAAAAAGGTGAGAGAGATGCGAACAGTGCAATCGGTATAATTAGTGCTATTCGGAAGTTATGGTTAGGAGGGACTTTTGAATGTCATGTTGGCAAGTTTCAGGTATGTCGGTTATATTATAGTAGTCTGACAGCATTTACAGGTTGTACTGCGTAGCGTGCTACCGGCAATGAATTTTTAGCAACCTCAGCCCCTTTTTAGCATACGTATGTCATGAAAGGTAAACACATTTCAGATACAGGACAGGTATGTGACTAATGTAGCATTATCGAATTTTGTAAAACATGAAACTTTCAGCTGCAAATTAACAAGCTGTGTGCAGTATTTTCTCTTAGTGCTATTTTTTACTAAGTTTGTAGACGTATTAAGGTTAGCCGAGAGCCAACTCCATAAATGTCGCACTAAAAATAATTTTGACCAGTATATAGGCTACTTGAGCTTACAAACCAGATTTGTTTCTTTGAGCGAACTGTTTTTTTTAATTATCTAATGTTTTTCTACACCACTTCTCGGAGCAGGTTCTTGTAGTGGTAACACTCTGGAATTGTAATTGGAAGGTTTTCAGTTTGAATCTCACTGGCTATTCTGACCCAAGAATTTTGTGGTTTTCCTTAGTACCTCCAGGATAATGTCTTGACTGGGCCACAGTCACTGCCTTCCAAATCCCTTCCAGTTAATTATTCACCATTCAGTCTACCATTGACATTGTATAGTATGTGACATTGACAGCATTGTAAAATAAACCACAAAAAGAAATATGCATATAATCATGGTACAGTCAGCTGATATGTATGGTATCACCATTCATTTATGAATATCTAACAAGTCTGTGCAACATGTGAGAGTCCTGCATTATGGAATGTGGATTATTGAAAATTTAACATTTTGTGAAAGTGATGAGTATCTTAAGTTGAACAGGCGGCAGGTCATTGTGAATGATGAATCAGAAAGTTGGTTTGAAATTTTTTCCCTGCAGTTATCTGAAGGTAATGTGGATAACCAGGAGGTGAATCATGTACTTTACAAACATAAAGTAGACTTGTTACTTCTGTACTGCCATCAAGTAAGTGCAATTTATCTGCATTATTAAGTTTGAGAGGTGAAATAATCTCAGAACTTTCCTGTCACCAGGCTTTGGGCATTGTCAGATCCCCTTTTACAATATAACACCTGTTATTGAATTATCAGTTTTATTATTGTAAATGTGAACGTCGTTCAGACCGGTTCTGGAACACACATAGCCCCCTACCAATGGGTACCGGGGTTTTTTTTACCGGTGGTAAAGCGACCAGGATGTGAAGCTGACCATTCACCTCCAACTAGTGCCAAGGTCAAGAAAACGTGGATCTATACATCCACTCCCTCTTATGTATTCATGGTGCAGTGTTTAAATATGGGGAAAACTTTACTTTACTTTTTATTATTCTAACTACAAGCTTCAGGAGGAGAAGTCTGGAAACTAATTACAATAATGGTAATTAAAATCCTGTAACTGTAAGATTTGGGGTTTTCACAGCAGTGGCTATGAAGATTACTGTCCTCTTGAATGTTATAGCACGTAGCCTGGTAGATACCAATGTTTCAGAGGAACCTGCAGCCTCCAAACTCCACTGTACCCTGAAGATGGAGACAGCAGGTTCCTCTGAAACAGTGGCAACTATCAAACAGACTACATGGGCATTACATACAAGAAGACATTAATTTTCAGTTCCATAACTGTTCAAGAAATTGTAAGGCTTGAATTTGAGTCAAATATTTAATTTATATATGGTTTATTTGGCGACACTGTCAGTAGCTTGGACTGTATAACATCAGGTGATGCATATGATTAATGAATGGTGAATTTGAAAGGTGGTCATGGCCTAGTTTGAAGTACTGCCCAGAGGGACTGAGGAAGCCATGAGAATCCTCAGTGAATGTAGTTTGTGTCCCAGCAGAATTTTTGAACTGGCCACCTCTTGAATACAAGTTAGAAGCAATTCCTGCTTAAATCAAGTTGCTCAGTTTTGGTTAACTACTGACAGAGAGGTTATAATGCCAAGTGAATAACTGAAAATGTGATTATTATGATGAAAAGTCTTGTGATTCCAGTGTCTGTTAGAATGCAGCAATATTTTAAGTTGTTACAGTCCACTTATACAATTAATAGAAGCAGAAGTATTTTATTTATAATAGTAAATGTTTCTGAATTGTTATAGTAACATGTTATGAGTGTTAACTTAAGTACCAGGGCTTAAATACAAGTCACTCTCGGTTTATAATGTTTTAACTTGCCAAGAATGTGGACTTACGATATCAGTACCTTAAAATCAGAATCTTATGTTATAGACATACAGTATTTGACATCTGATATTCAAGATTTTTCAGGGCTTTGAGTCTATTTCATTGTGCATATTTCTTGGCCGATATTCAGTTGCATGATACAGCTTGTCTGTGTTCAGTCACACTGCTGTTAGTGCACTGTATATTTAGCATTATGGGTATTGAGTATATATTCATCAATACTTGGAGTTATGTTGTTCTCTCAAAATAGAAAAGTGCATGTCATGTATTTAATTAAATTAAATAGGTTACACTGTCAGTTTTTAAATAAGAAGAACTGAAGAAAGTAATATGCTTTAATATATAAAGGTCTAAGAGCCAGATACCTGATTTGTACTAAGATTAACATATTTGGTTTATTTGTTTAGAATCTAGAGATAATTTTTGAGATTTGCAAAACATAATATAATGAAGCTCGCATCCGGTGTTCTTCATTTTAAGATACTCCCATTTAACATTCAGTTTAAGTGATCCCAAGTCAGTAATTTCAGTGTTAAATTTTCTCACTTTCAGATTTGCCCCACTTTAGTTTTCAAATCAACTGGTTTCCATAGAGCTTTGAAATGGGGCCTACAATATATATTCTTACACTTTCCATCGTAACGGCCCTTTATTTAAAATAATATGTAGTTTATATTAAATGCTGATTTTTGTATCAAGAATACCAATTCTGACCGTTTGACTCGATTGTGATATTCATTCCTGTTTTATGTTGCCCCATGCATTTTGGAGGTGGCATATGTAAAGCCTACAGGTTTTATTTCTGACTATGAATGTTGATATATTTCTAAACAGTAATGCCAGTGTGTGTGCACAGAGAGAGAAACATCATACAAAGTAACTGCCACATATTTTTCTAAATGTAAGATCAGCTGTGGGAGATTTGTACATTTCACAATGGTGACTATGAATGTGGGATATTGCGTCATGTACACTGATAGAAGTTTACTAATGTTTCAGAGAAACAAACTGCCTACATCTTCAGGGTCATAGATTAAGTCAAGAAAGCAATGAATACACTGTTGGAATTTGGAATGGTTTTTGTAACTATATTTATTTTTAACATTTCAAGACGTAATATAAAAAAATGTATTTTAAAAGTCCTTCCAGTTTCCTGTGATGGAAGACACAAACTGTCTCATATACACTTGATGGGTTATAAATTGTTATTTCCCTGAAGATATTGCCTGTTCAGTTTTATTTAGGGAGATGGTCTCCGTAACTTACTGAAATCTAATCGGAGTTTTCAGAGTCAGTTTTTGATAAAACCACATTTTTGTGTTCTGTGACTGCTGTGAAAGACATATATTTTTGAAGCTAGAATATTCATATTCACTGGGCACAGATGTGTGATGGATAGATCCTTAAATTTCACTGTAACTACATTTTTATATTCAGGGATTTTGAAAGTGTGCAGATGTGTCAAAATTTCATGCTTGATTTTCATCACAGTCACAGTATTTTTTGATACTATGTATGTGACTAAAATCAATTTTAGGAGGTAGAGTTCTTCTTAAAATAGTTCATCAATGGAAGAATTAAAATATTATGAAGAATCGCACATAAAGTAATTCATTATTTTTATGTTTCAAAAGGATTTGGAGTGATGGTTGAGTTTTTAGTTTGTTGAGTGGCACTTTACATAAATTTTTAAGCCTCAGGCATATCTATTAATATTACTAGTCCAGAAATCTGGGTCAGATAATTTTGGTGAACTTAGCTTGAAGCTTTAATCTTATTTAAATTAGCTTGAAGTGTTAAGTTATTGACCTGTTTTAGATGGTAGAATCATGTTCAGGCAGGCCCAGACAACCTAGCCCTTGATCATGTGGGTCATCTGCAAGAAGTAAAAGCTCTATGTTTAGTGGGAGTAGAGGAGAGAAAGGGGCTATTAATACTTCACAGCTGAACCACTGAGCTAAGTTAGATCTCCGCAGTAGCAGTTGTCATTAGCTGCTCTTTACTGCTGCCAGGTGGGGAGGGGAGGGGCTATTTCAAGCAGGGTTAGTGGAAGGGAGGAGGAGTAAATTCTCAGGGTTATAAAAACTGTTGACCAGCGATATATATCTTTTTTATTATTCTTTTGCTTGTAGTTATGCAGAAAGAATCAGCTACTATATTTAGAGATTGCAGAATAGGTAGAAAACCCCAAGCTCTAGGGTTTGAGTGCAAGGAATACTTGAGAAGGTTTATATCTGTGATAGTAGATGCATACTTAACCCACTTAAGCCTGAATATAATCTAAGGAACATTTAAAAATTGAGTTTACTTGCATGCATCTTCGTTAGATAGATCAGCTGGTTAATGCCGTTTAGGGAAATAATCGCTGTTTACTGTGAGAACCATACAGAACACATAAATACACTGTGTGGGCAGAATGCAGAGTTTTAGTGTCTTGAAGTCCATACCTCACAGGGAACACCGTCTCCATAGCAATGCCCAACAGGTTAATGCTGTGTAGGGAAATAATCGCTGTTTACTGTGAGAACCATACAGAACACATAAATACACTGTGTGGGCAGAATGCAGAGTTTTAGTATCTTGAAGTCCGTACCTCACAGGAAACACACTCCGTCTCCATAACAGTGCCCAACCAGTTAATGCTGTTTAGGGAAATAATTGCTGTTTATTGTCAGAACCATATGGAACACAAATATTAACTAACCAACCAAGTAAATGTTTTAATATTGATCTCCCATCTACATCTAGATCTTTATGGTGATCTCTTTCCTCCAGATTTTCTTCACAAAACCCTGTATGCAGTCCTGTCCTGTATCCTGCTTGGCTTGCTCATCTCACAAGCCGTAAATAAATTGAATGTTATGTGGTTGTGGTGATGGACATCAGTATTCTTAATGGAGAGTCAGAAACAAGCTTATATATACTGATTATATGAAGTTGCAGCCCCCTTCTTCAGGATTAAGCTTCGAAACATTGGTATCTATTGGTACCTACACAGTGTCATATCCCAGAAGACTCTTAGTCACTGCTGTGAGATTCCTACGTGTTGTTTAGGACCATGTTCAGTTGTAGGCTTTGGCGTTTTGAAGCTTAATAGATGGATCATAGTCAGTTGCTTAGTTAATACCAAAATTTATGATATTTCTTACATCATCCAATTTGACAAGAAAACCAGCTTTTGTTCTTTTTGCATTGCTTACTTTTACAGATGTAAGTAATGTACCAGCGGACTATAGAGCTGAAAAGACAAGAGTTGTTCTAGGTACGGTACAATCATCATTAAAAGTAACTCAACTTGTATGTGTAGCAGTGAAGTTAAAAAATTGTCTCGTGTTAACTAATATGTCACTAATACAGCTCTAATCAGACGGACTGTTTTCATGTTTTTATTTTGTTTTATTTTAATTTACTGTGCAGACAGATCTCATTTATTTGTCTGGTTATTGAACCTAAATGTTACAGCTTGCTTACCTTTTGATAAAAGCTGTTTAATGTTGTTTGTGTACGTGTTTTTGCAGAGTAACTTGTTTGTGCCTTTTGAGTCCTTAAGTATGGAAGATGTGTTTAGCAGCAATGGAATGATAATGATTTCCCTCTGTTTCACTGAACAGTGTTTATGTTTTAATTTTAAATGATTCCAACAATGGTTTTCTACACTTATGATTAGTGAGTTTCTGGACCTTGTTCTTTGTTTGGTGTTCTGAAAGTACACATTTCATAAATTGGATCAATTTGGTTCAGTTGAGTAGGTCCCTCCCACACCTGAGGATGTTCGCAGGCTCATACATCTTTGCTATAAAATTTCTCATTTCATGATGCTGAAGATGGAGAAGTGGGAAACATATGTCGCACAACCTAAATTGTCTGAAGCTGCTCATGTTTCAACAAAAGATGTTTTGTGTTGTTTGTTTATGTATTTTCTGTGTTCAGAGTCCTGATTGTCAGATACTGAAAGGTTATGAGTGCACATTCATCTCTGTATATTCCTCTTCACATTATGTGCTGTTTTTTCTGTAAGAATAACAAATTGTCACATATAAAACTTGTATGCAATTTTAATCGAGAGTTATGTTATAACACATGTAATATCTGAAAAATATTCGTAAATATTTATTTCTGTTTTCTGTGTATTTTTATTCTGTAATGAAATATTCTCACATGATGAGCCGTGTCAGTAGATATGCAATTAATTTGCGTTCTTTGGTGTGAATTAATTCCCGATGATGGAAGTATAGATAATATGAGAAGACATTATTGCCGTCCATCACCACGAAAACCTCATATCTCATTGTTGTATGAGGTTTGAGGTTATTGTGGCAGTAAGTGTGCATGTAACGGTCATCCGAGGAGTGAAGCCACACAGCTTTATAGATAGTAACTTTTTAGAGGAATCTGCTGTCTCCATATTCAGGATAGAAGACTGAGCTAACCAGGGAAAAATGATGGATGATACAGGGAAGTCTCCATAAAGAGCCACTGTTTCTCATTGGTTCGCTAGGAGCCTTGGCTGTGGTCTTCCCTTCACTGTCACGTACCATGCTTCCCCACTTGTCTCCCTCTACAACCCTGAAGATGGAAGCAGCTGGTTCTGTCATAGCATTGGTCCCTGCCCATGATAGTTCATGGTTTCTTCCAGAAGCAACTGTCCTCAGACAGTAATGCTTCTGTCGTCTGTTTGGGAGGTGCCCAATTCGAATCTGTTCGGGCATTAGCTGTCCCAACTGAGGCCTTTTGTGTTCTTCCTCGTTCACTCCAGGTAAATGCCAGGATAATTCCAAAAAATTGGCCATGGCTGATTTTCAGTTCATAATTCATTAATCATCCTGGAGCTATTTCCAGCACCGTAACCATAAAGAAATACGTAAAATCTTATGTCTGTGGCTTTCTATTGGAAACGTAGAATGTGTGATTGAAACTGGTTGTATATTGAAGAGTACAGCCTTCCGGGGTGTAATGCTATATAGTTTTGAGAGAACCTGTCGATTCAGAGGAACGTGTTGCCTCCATCTTCAGGATCAGAGTAAACCAAGTAAGAAACAAACAGAAGCAGGCAGGCATCTGCTCTTGCCTCTGCTTATGGCCTAATTGAGATACTGTTCCAAGCATTTTCCTGGAGAGACTGAGGATAACCATGAAAAAACTCAGAATAGCACATGTCCTGGCCAAGATTCGAACTGAGCACCTTTGAAGTGTGAGTCAAGAGAGTTTCTGCTAAGGCAGTACATTCATATTTAAAGCTAATTTTGTCATTACAGAGGATATACCTATAGGCGAAGATGTCGGAAGCAGCAGTTACTCATCCGACGAGACCATCCACATTTACAAGGACAGGGGCACAGGCGGGAACATCTGCGCTAAGATTGTATTCTTTCTGCTGCTTGGTGCACTGGCTGTAATGGTTGGCCTCATCGTGACAGAATATCGAGGTTCCAGCGATGGTAAGCACCCCTTCAGCATGAACAATTCCAGTATTTTCAGTTATCTGGGAGTTAATTGGAAATAGTCGATAATAAACGTGATTACTCTAGCAATATATTATTTTAAGGTTATGAACTTGTGGGAAGTGATGCTGTGTATTCTGGTGGACAGGAGGACATGCCATGATTTGGTGCCTCTAACCTACCTTTGTAAGGGCACATAATAATTGCCCTTCCTTTCCTCTTTGTCATTCCCCACGTCTCTTCCTTTCCTCTTTGTCCTTCCCCACATCTCTTCCTTTCCTCTTTGTCCTTCCCCATGTCTCTTCCTTTCCTCTCTGTCCTTCCCCACATCTCTTCCTTTCCTCTTTGCCTTCCCCACTTCTCTTCCTTTCCTCTTTGTCATTCCCCACGTCTCTTCCTTTCCTCTTTGTCATTCCCCAAGTCTCTTCCTTTCCTCTTTGTCCTTCCCCACTTCTCTTCCTTTCCTCTTTGTCCTTCCCCATGTCTCTTCCTTTCCTCTCTCTCCTTCCCCACATCTCTTCCTTTCCTCTTTGTCCTTCCCCACTTCTCTTCCTTTCCTCTTTGTCCTTCCCCACTTCTCTTCCTTTCCTCTTTGTCGTTCCCCACTTCTCTTCCTTCCCTCTTTGTCCTTCCCCACTTCTCCTCCTTTCCTCTTTGTCCTTCCCCTCTTCTCTCTCTTTCCTCTTTGTCCTTCCCCCCTTCTCTTCCTTTCCTCTTTGTCCTTCCCCACTTCTCTTCCTTCCCTCTTTGTCCTTCCCCACTTCTCCTCCTTTCCTCTTTGTCCTTCCCCCCTTCTCTTCCTTTCCTCTTTGTCCTTCCCCCCTTTCTCTTCCTTTCCTCTTTGTCCTTCCCCACTTCTCTTCCTTTCCTCCAACTTCTTCCCCCCCACCTCTGCTTTTCTCCACAGATAATGCCAGCATTATCTTTATTGTACACATATGAGTATAATGATTTCAGGGCTTTTTCTTCTTCAATGAATTTGTTTTAGTAGACACGCCGGTAGCAGAGTCGAGATGGGCGCAGGTGTTCGACGGCTGGGTTGATGAGAGTCCCCCAAAACATGAGGAACATGATGAACCTGTGGAGGAGAGCGGAGAACACGATGAAGGTAAGCACGTAATCAGGGCTGGAAATGGGAATCAACGCAGGTAGATGCCATCTGCTTAGCTGCAGAGTGGTTCATTTTGGGGAAGCTGTTTCGGGTGCCTTAAAACATAATAACTGTCATTCCCAGCAGCGATACATCTGGAAACAATTTCAGGAGTGTATGTTCTAATAATTTCCTTTTAATGTCTGTTGGTCATTCCTCTGGGCTCTTCTACAGATCTGAATTTTCTGCCCAATTCTGAAAAGCCACTTACACCCCTCTCTGTAATGTATATACACATCTGTGAATGGGTCACATGTGATCACTAATAGCAGAGTTCTTTCAATAGGACGTGTATTCAGAGTGTGATGCTGTATAGTTTGGTAGATAGGTACTTATGTTGCAAGTGAATCAGCTGCCTCCATTTTCAGAGTTGAAGCCTCTTCATATTGCAGCGACCACAAGAAAGATGACTACATCCACTGTTGCTAGGCAGCAGCCCACAAACAGAAGCAGTGGAGTGGTGTTTTCTTTGTGGTCCTCCAAGCAACAGAATAACAGTGTTTCCTGTGTGGTCAGTGCCAAGATATAAGCAAGAAAGTTAGTGAGAGTTAGTGGAGTGGAATGAGATGGTTGGTTAGTTAGTTAGTTAGTTAAGGACTTCTGCTGTCAGTCCTTGTGAGTAGTTGCTGATAGAAGCTGGTGGCTAAGTAGCGGGGACAGTTCGGGAACCCAGAGGAAGGAAGATGTCTGCCACTGGAAGCCTTTACCAGAAAATTGGTGAAGTCACAGCAGACTGAGAGGACTTAGTACATGCTCTAGTGAACTGTAGAAGTGTGTGAATTAGCACTAGTGCTACAGTTACTTACAGTTACAAGTATAAGTGTTCAATAAAGCAAATTTAGCACAGTTAAAGTGGCTGGCTACGGGCTAGGCGACCAAGGGTTCATAGCTCGAGTCCCAGTGAGGCCAAAATTGTCACTTCTTCATTTCGTCCAGATGATCTCCGAGGCGCACCCAACCTCCTACCTAAAGGGTACAGGGGGGTTCTTTCCCCAGGGGTAAAGCGGTCAGGGCGGTAGCTGACCACTTACCTCCAATTAGTGCCGAGGTCAAGAAAATTTGCGTCTATACATCGACTCCACCATATGCCTTCATGGCTAGTGCTTAATAAGTTAAGCACGGGGACAAGTTTACCTTTTACCATTCCAAACCCCATCTGTAGTACACATGACAGTATTTGGCTCCTTTTCATGCACTCACTATTAGTGTGTTTGCACTGAATTTATTCCAGTATCGCAGAGCTGATTTGTTGGATCGATGTTGTTCCAGAGCATTCGGAAGAAACTGAAGAACCTGGGAATGGCGGACAGGATGGACTTGAGGAAGTGGGGAGCCAGGAGGAACAGTCTCAAGAGGAGGAGGAGGAGATAGAGAGTGAAGAGGCACAGTCTCCAGAGGAAGAGGAGGAAGAAGAAGAAGAGAGTGAAGAGGGGCAAGAAGAGGAAGAAGAAGAGAGACAAGAAGACAAGGAGGAGTTGGAAGAAGAGGAAGAGGAGGAGGAGGAGGAGGAAGAAGAAGAAAGCAGTGAAGAGATACTGGAAGGCATCCCCGGAGTGACAGAGAGCGATGAAGACGATCAGGATGAAGAAGGTAAATAAGTGTACTCGTGAGATCAGAGGTTTTGAAGGCAGTGAAATAGCAAGGTTATGATCTTCTGAGGGGTGACTCCATGTAGTTCGGACGGTACGTACCATTGGAGATGTCTGGTGATTTCATCTTCAGGGTAGAAGGTGCAAGATGGACGCATTGGGTCCCTCCAAAATGTTGATATACGTAAGACAAAAGTACAGAGTGTCACAACCCCAGAAGTCTCTTTAATAGTCACCACTGTAAGAATCTCAGATCCCGTTAGTTTGAATGTAGCATAAATCTGTGATAAAATACTGGGGCCATATCGATAGTGTGCGCATCGTCAATCTGTATCATGATTGTGCCAGTAGATGGAATTTCCTTCCCTGAGACCACTTATATGTAAAATGGATGGCCATAATGAAGGAGAGCTAACTGTTCCGAGATCAGTCATCTGCTCATATGTTCACCTTTTTGCAAGCCTTTATAGTGCACTGCCAAAAGAAGCCAACTCTTATGGGTGTTCCAGGAGGAAAGGTCAATGTTATGGCCCAAATTTGAGATTAGAGCTTGTATGGTATTACCCAAATGTTAGAGACTTGCGAAAAGCGTTTCGCAGTTCTTACAGTAATTTGTAAACACCAGGACTGGCAATTAGGTTAAGAATGTGGAGACTCAGCAGGTCTGTGTAATCGCAGAGCAAGAGCTTGCCTCACTCGGTCACTAGGATTAATTGTGAGAGACCGCATACACAGCAATAAGACGCAAGGGGTCCGCCCACAACCACCCATGAGAGCCAATGAGGAGGTGATTTTGAGGATTGAGGACACTGAGGGGGAGTCACCTACCCTCTGTCGTCAACGCTGAATCAGCGAAAGAAAACCATAAATTAGGGAATTTCGGGGGATTTAGAGGAGGTTCTAACACATAATATTCGGTTGTCAGCCGAAGGCTCTCTTCAACATGGGTCTGACCAGCGGAGGCAGTGGGCCTGCATCTTGTACTACAGGTGGGTTTGTTTACGCATAATAGCCATGCTGATTGATAATATCGTTGTTCATAGTATTGGTGAGAACAGTGTTGTTGAGCTATTGAATGTGCAATTTCCAGTGTACCCAGTAAGCCCTGAGGGTAGGATAATAGGTTCATGTAAAGGCCTAGGATATTAGCCAGGCAAGAAGGTTTTATAGTATATATGTTAGGGTTGTGGTTAGTATGTAGGGTAGGAAACTAGGATCGTGTAGAAGCCTAGGATAGTAGTCAGGCAATGAGTGACTTATATGTCGGTGTCAAGGTTACACATAGTGAGTAGTGGTAACTATAGTATGTGGGAATTTAATATAGATATTTAAGGGTAGATCACGTTTCGAGGGAACTTTATGAAAGATAGTAGAATTGTATATAAGACGTAGTAAGAAATGTACAACTAGAAGATTTATGTTACACGAGGAGGGCTTGCATGGCCCATTAGATGAGTCCGAGAGAGAGAGAGAGAGAGAGAGAGAGAGAGGCTCCAGGCCTCCACCCCTGAAGGGGGAGAACGTAAAGAAGCCGAACGAGTAGTCAAGACTCTATGTAGTCAAGACTGAAGGACAGTCTTTGTAATATGTAAATAATGTAAATCATGTATATATATAATAATGTAAATAGACAGCTAGAATAGATACGATAGGATGTACCGGGATTGTAATTCATATTTATAATCAACTTTCCCACCTCCAATCCCGAGCAATCCTGACTGAGCGAGGGCTGAACTGACACAGGCAGCAGTAGCAGCCGAAGACAAAGAAAGACAACAGGGATAGGTACCTGCCACACCGGCAGAGTTAAGTAGCCTAGATACCAACGCCCCTTACGATATACGGATAAAGTGAATTAATAAAGTACTAAGTCGTTACCTGTAAACTACGGGAGGAGTGGTCAAGGAGCAACGCCTATATGTCAGGGAGTAGTCCCCACGATTGAAAGGAAAGAAAATAGATGGTGGCAGCTTTTACCGAGAAGGAAACCCCAAACAAGAGAATCCTAGCTAAGGGTGAGCTAGGATGATTGTGATAACCCCTTACAGAGCAAGTGACGGTGGAGGCAAGGAAGGATACCTCCACGGCCCCCTACTGGCGGCATAACAGTGGTGGCAGAGGAGGCTGACTCCACGCCCCCCTGCACCACGGCATTACAGTCAATATTCTGGGAGGTCATAGTATCAGTCATTCCAAGCAAAAAAGTGTGTATGTACATGTGTCCTGTTCTGAATTGTTTCCAAGATAGAGCTATTTCACTGTACAGTTCCAAAACTGTTGATAAGAAAGAGATATTACGTACTGTTTCTAATTCCAGTATTTGTTGTTCAGGTGACAAAGTTGGTACAGTTTCCCTAGTATGATACATTTTTGAAAATTCCCCCCTCAACATCAGTGCATTTTGCAACTCGTGTAAGGACAGGGTGTTTTGCTCGCCTGTACAGTGTACTGTGCAGTGAGATAGCTCTATCTCGGTGCAACTCATGTGAGGACAAGGCATGTTGCTCATCTGTACAGTGTACTGTACAGTGAAATAGCCCTATCCCGGAAACCATTCGGAATAGGACACATGTACATGTATGCTTTTTGTTTTTGCTTAGAATGACCGATACTGTGACCTCCCAAAATAGTGACCCTTTCTTCCGGGACACTCTGTATAAAGCTTCATCTGATGCTTATTCTCACACTTGTATTCCTTTGGCAGTATTCCAAAAGGACTGATCATCTTTTCTTCTTGCAAATATCATGAATTCATCATTTCCAATGGAGTGCATATTTCATATAACCCTTATGTCACCCTGACTGTTCTTGACATGTTGGAGGTATAAAATACAGATCAACTACGCATATGGTAACACTGTGTGAAATTTCAAAGTTATTTGTGTTGTCCATTAATATGTAAGTACCATGATGTCATATTTTAGTTTTTGTTAAAAGTAATTAAATTAAAAAGAAATTGTCTGAGATAATGTTCACATTCAATCCACATAAGCTGAGATTGTCACTTATAGTCTGTTGTTTCCATCTGTAATGCAACAATTAACAACGCTGAATCACACTTAATCCCTACAGCGGTCATTATATGAATAAAATGTTATTAAAATTATTAAAATATTAGAATATACATGCATTATCACAGTGCTACTTGTTTCAGTCAAATAAGGCCATCAGCGGGCAACACTTTTATAAGGAGTCTGATTCACTGCACACTAATCGAATATCATTCTTTCGTTATGTCATTCGTGTTTTCTTTTTCACATCTTTTTTGAAATATGGATGTTTCTATATTTTGTTGTTGTGTTGTTTTCTTTTATTGTGTGTATCAAGTGTCCCCACTATAAGTGACAACTCATTGCAATGGGATGCCCAAATATAATATTAAGCTGAGATCGGTTAAGTTTGAGGATACCCGTGCATTTTAGAGCATTGTTAAGTAACTGAAGGATCTTCATTCTCTTTATGTTCTTGTTTTAAGTGCTTTGTATGGAAAAGTAATTTGTTTTTCTTCCGCAGAGGAAGATGAGAGTGCTGGGGCTCAGGGAGGTGATGATTTCAGTGAAGAGGCAAAACCGGAAGAAGGAGGAGAAGAAGAGGTGAGCTGTACACCAGCTACTAATAATATAGACATGTTGTGTTCGTGTAGCACTAAATTTCCCATTACCTCTACCAATTTAATTACAGATGTTTATGTAGAAGTTCATAACTATAACCCATCACTGTGTGTTATGATGTAAAATTTGGCTTGCAGAGGAAGACTGCGTTAGTAACTTTAACCTTGTGTCTAAGCATCATACATCAAGTCATATGGACATCTGTATCATTACAAAATCATCCCATGCAATTTGTACTTGTAAATAATTGACAGGACCGACTTAAATGTAGTTTATCGTAAGGAGAAAAATTAGTCTAAAAGTACACCTGCCATTTTTTGTGCAGAATGAATAGTGAGGCCAGGGTAGCTCAGTCAGTATAGTGACTAGACTATGGATTTGATTGCTGGGAATCAGGGTTCACTTCTCAACATGGGTAGAAACTTTTATCTCCCCTACAGTGCTCAGACAGTCTCTGTGCCCTGTCTGTCCACCAGTCACATTGGTTGGTAGTAGTGGCTCTTTGGCCAGTGATAAAGAAGTTGGGATGTGAAGCGAACAACTCACCTCCAGCTGGTGCCAAGGTTAAGAGTGTGGAGTGATAAGTCCACTACCCATACACCTTCATAGCATTGTGCGTAATGAAGCACGCGGATAACTGTATCATTTTATTTACACAGACTAGTGATCGATATAGCAATAAGAAGATACTCAGAATAACTGGATTTTTGGACTTTGTCCATTGTCCGGTAACTAGAAAACACAACTTTTTGGAAACTGGATGTGTTTCTGTCCTCAGGCGAGGGGGAAGACATATACTCTGTTGGGTCTCTTAGCAAGTGATTGAGGTTAGCTCTTTCTGAGGGACCTGCCAGAGTAGGTGTCTTCCCCTTTTGTCTGAGGATGGAAACAGATCCAGTTTCCAAAAATGTTGTTTTGTAGTACCGGACAATGGACAAAGCCCAAAAATCCAGTAATTCTGAGTACTATACACCATCATCAGAACCCTTTAGAATCCACACGATGATGTTTAATTTGTGTTTGCTTATTCATTCTTGAAAGAAAACTTTTTCTTGCAGATGGAACATAAACATCAATTCTAAGGGAGTAAACACCTTTGCTACTGGGCCAGCATTGACCACATTAATGGCATGATTAACAGTGTGCTGGACCGTACTAATCTGTGTAACATATGCATGTTGTGTTCCTAACCACTAGGCCAGAAGAAAGTCAACAGTAGCGCCAGTGACAGAAACATCACCCAAGTTGCCTGTGCATGCTCCTAGTCAGGCAGGAGAAACTTTGAACAAGAAGTCGCAGGGATTCCAACAGAGTGAAGACAGACCTGTGACTGTAGTATCTAAAGGCAGAAAAGAAGCCCCAGATAAAGAAATAACACGCGAGGAGATTAAACGAGAGTCTGTGAATCAGTTAGAAGACGAATCATCAGCTCACCCACAGGCTGCACAGTTAGATGTGGCAAATAAAGTGTCTGATAAGAGTGTCAGAGGTGCCAGTGTTATACAGGACATCTCAACCTCGTATGATAGAGATGAAAAGGTAGTTATTCCCCAGAGAAGCTCAGGAGCTACTTCCAGTAAGTCCTCTACCACGACAGAAGAACCAGCTGTCCAACATGCACCAACAGTAGAGCCAACTGTTCAGCATATTCCATCAGAGAAACCAACTGTTCAGCACAACCAAACAGAACAGTCAAGTATGTTGCACACCTCAGCAGAAAAGCCAACTGTTCAATACATTCCAACAGAAAAACCAGCTGTTCAGCACATTCCAGGCGACCAACCATCATCTGAACACGTTCCTACAGAAAAACATAGTGTCCGAAACACCCTTCCAGCAGAACAGCCAACTGTTCAGTACATTCCGGCAGAAGAACCTGGTCTTGCACACTCCTCAGCAGAAAATCCAAGTTCTCAAGGACCTCCCCTTGCAGTGTTACACCCAAAAATGACCTTACAAAGTGCCCACGTCAGTGATTTAAGAGAAGATAAATTGGAACTCACCATTCCTGAGAAAGTTGCTGACATACTATCACATTCAGAACATTCTGAAAGTGTAGATGTGAAACCAGCGTCGAGTCAGACTTCAAGCAAGGTACGAGAAGATGTCACAAATCATGACACTAAACAACAACAGAAGGAAGTTGAGGGGTCTCAGAAGGCACACACCACTTCACGAGAACCAGATTCAACCATCCAGTCTGCAGGTAAAATTCCAAAAGAGGCATCAGTGGCTGCTGATAAAAGCGCATCCAGAATATCAGAAACCAGGAAGAATGATTCGAGGACTTCCGCAGCCAAGCATAAAAAGGTAACATATTGTCTTCTGTTGTCACTGAGTGTCATGTGACAGACTGAAGCAAAATACATTGGTACTCTTAATGACACACTGTTTGTTCACTGTATTTGCTATAGCTTCATCATCATAGAGCTGGCCTCTTGTTACATATTATGTCATATCCATCCAGCTGTCAGAGCTCCATTCTGGTCACCTGAGCATACACTGTCATATTCATTTCTTAGTGATAAATACTGCATTCACCTGTTTTTATTCTCCCCCTGCCCCCTGCTTTCTTCATTCACTGTTGCGACTAGGCTATGGAGTAGACAACTGAGGAGTTAGGGTTTAATTCCCAACAGAGATATGAGATATTCTTATCTCTGTAGCGTCCAGACTGGCTCTGGGGGTCCACCAAGCCTCAAACCACTGGTATGTGGCCCCTTCCCCCAGGAGTAGAGCTACTGGTGTGTGAAGCTGACCAGCCACCACCATCTAGAGCCAGGGTTAAGAATGGTGGAGCTATACCTCCACCCTTGCATACAGTTCACTGTATGGTGCAGAACTAAGTGCAGGAGGAATTGCTGTGGGTTCTTTTGCTTTTCTTCGTTGCTTGTCTCAGTTCTTTTCATTTCATACATTTTGTTGTACCTTATATGAGGTTCATGCAGAATGGAGACCTGCTGTCCTGAATGAAATTTGTATGGTTTTCCTCATTCCCTCCATGTATGTGTTGGGACTGTACATCAAGTTAGTCCTTGACCACTTCCTTTCCGATTCTGTATTCAGTGATACTCCCATCACTTTATCAATATAGCCTGAGGTACCATAAGCATAAAGTAAAAAAGTAAAGCTATCCCTGTAACAGGCCGTGAAGGCCCATAGGGTTGTGAGACGTTGAGGCTCCCACATTATCTAGACAATCAGCTCAAATTGCGGTGAGGTTGTCGGCCTTATGCGCCGGCCACTCTTTACCCCCAGGGAATATTCCTGGTACTCATTTCTGTTAGAGGCAAAGTCAACCCTGGGGCCATAGTGCGGCTGGAAGGATCAGGTCAATTGAAAAAAATCCAGTGACCTCATCGGGACTTGAATCCGCGACCTTCCGGCTTGTAACACAGCCCCTCAACCAGCTACGCTACCGCGTGAGGTATCATAAGCGTAGTTCAATAAAACATAAATAAATGAATATATGTATACATACACAGCATGTACCCTATATAATTTAGCGAGTGTCATCAGGCACCCAAAAATGAAGTTGAAGTTACAGATCTTAAATTATATATGGTGGAACACCCCACCCCCCGTTAATGTTCCTCTGTTTGAATGTTTTATGCCGTTTAACGTTCAGTTTCAGCGATCTCATTGTTAAATTCCAACCATTTAAATTTTCTCCTTTCTGATTTCAAATCTACTGCTCCCAAAACAAACCTTACATGAGGTCTTCATTATACAGGGTGTACCAGGAGGAAATGTCAGTATTCTGGGAAACCGTTCAAAGTAGGACGCATGTACGTATACACTTATTTACTTAGAATGACCAATACTATGACTTCCCAGACACCCCCAGTATGTGTGTGTGCGTGGAAGCGTGTGTGCCAGGCGGATATGATCTGTAAGCATTCAGTTTATGCATTAAGCACTGAGAACACAAAAGAATAAGATTATGGGCATCTTTAATGTGGCGCCATGCAGTCTGCTATAAAGGTATCAATGTTTCAGGCGAACCCGCTGCCTCCATCTTCAGTGTAGATGTGAGTAGCAGGTTGATGTGAAGCATGGTACCTTTTTACCAGGTTGCACCATGTCACATTCCAGAAGACAGTAATACTTGACATTTATTACTGTGAGGACCTAAGATTTCTCAACCCACTAAAATATGTTCATTACAGACGAAACTGTTTTTACGTAAAATGCTGATGATTTAGTGCAGAAATGTTCGTTAAGTAATTACAGCAGCATGTTTAAAATTGTATTACCTTTTGTTCTAAGGAGGAAGCTGATGACAGTGGTGAAAGTGATGGTGATAAAGATGATGATGAATCTGTAGAAGAGGCAGTAGGAGAAGAGGTGGGAAGGGAAGACGCAGAAGATGATAAAGAAAGTGGTCATGATGATGACAGTGCTGGTGTTGGCGATGATGACGACGAAGATGAACCATCTGGTGGTAAGTGTAAATGTCATGTGAGCATTTGTGTTTCAAGGTAATCTTATGAGAGAGGTGAGCCACAGTAGGTTTTGCGATAGTTGATGATTGGATGCATCATCAGTTTTGCAATAGTTGATGATGGATGCATTATCAATAGACATTATAGCGTCACACACTTACCAGGATTGTGGTCTTGTGAGGTATGATGCTGTGTAGCTTGATACTGAAGTTTTGGAGGAACCTGTTGCCTTTTTCAGGGCAGAAGAGCAGGTTGCAGAGGCAAAAATAGTTGGGCTGTAGATCAAATTTTTTTAGATAGTACCCATACCTTGAAAGAGGCCATGATGGCTTTATTTTAAAATCTTTATCTCCTCAGCATTCATGATAAGATAAATGATAATATCTTATTGTGGTCTTTATTTCCTGCTTCACTCTTACCAGTTACAAATTAATTTGGTCGTGAGTTAGAAAATGATGCATTAATAAGGGGAAATATAAAACTCCTGCCATCTGTTGTTCATATCATCCACTGCATGATGTGATTACAAAGGAATATAAAGAATGCAGCTGTTGCACGCAGTACGTATTCATAACGAGGCATTTGCATCATACATTTGTTTCAAAAGGCTTTCAATAATGGACATATATGAGAAAAGTATTGTGTTGGAAGCATTCTGACAGAGGATAGGAAGTGTGAAGCATAACAGCCATGCAATAATACACAGATGTCTACAACATGGCAGCTGAAAAACAATGAATACTAGGTATAGAGTGAAGGATAATATTAAAATGTATTCTGTGAAGTAGGTTGTGAGGATGTAAACAGTATTGAATTGACTGATTTTAGTGTCTAATTGTGGACTGTAGTGGTGATGAATCATTATGTTTCTTAACCCTTTATCAACTAACATTGTTTCTGAGACATGTTTGCTCTCTGTCCAAAAATCGTATCATGATATCGTGTCTCTCTGAGACGTGCTGCAGTCGGAGCATAAATTTTGCTAGTACAAAATGTGACGGTTGTCAGATAGCTTCTGTACCTGGCTGAATGAGGTCTTATATGTGTTCCTGAGAGAATGGAGAACTGGCTGGTGGCGCCACTTTATGCGTGTGCGGTTACAACATTCACTGAATGTAAGCCATCAGTAAAGTTCTCAGAGTGACTTAGGGGTGGGCCTCACTGTCCTGTGGAGCACCTGAAAATTTTAATTTTTAAAAATGAATGTGATCTACTAAACTGCATTGCACTATTTCTTTTCCAGTTAAATTATTTTCTTTACGTTCAGTCTGATCCCCCTTCGATAGCACCTTAAAAACCGTCATGTTCCATTGCCAATTGCCTTATTATATCTTGGCAACTACAGATGTCAGTCTTGTGCCCTTCTGTGGTCTTTCTTTCACCAGAGAATTATTTTTATTTATCAGTATACAGCAAAGGAGATAAAGAGAAAGTATAACACAGTAGTGGCAGGAACTGTATTTATCTTGTCCTCTTGTTTTAGTTAATGCTGTCCCTTCACCTATGCAGTTACTACAAGTTTGATATTTGTAAATGGGAAATGCAATGTTACATTTCCTTGCTGACAGTTGGCAACTACTGCTATGTTATGTGTGTTTCCAGTGGCGCTAAAGTTTGGTGTTGGTGTGGCGCTAGTTCTAGTAGCGCACGTGGTTCTGGTTAGGAAGTGGAATGCGGGTCGGTATTATTTGTTTATGTGCCTCGCTCACTTGCTCGCACTGTCAGCATGGCTCGCTCTTTGTAACACTTACTAACAATGCATTTCTCATGTTAGAGATACTGCACACAATAGTAGTTAGTCTCAGTGTTTCTGTGTGTTTTATATGTGAGTGTCTATATGACTTCGACAACACGGATGAGAAGTTCTAACTGCACTTCCTGAAGCAACTTAGTACTTAATTTTTAAGAGTTGTATTAATATTGTAGAAACTGGTTAATACATTCTCATTGAGTGCCATTTTGTAAATGTGGCTATATGGTTATAATATTTTATACAAATTTAACTGAAAGGAATTTCAATTTTCTTTCTGTATATTTACACAAAGAATTATACTTGATTATTGTCTTTTAGAATGTGATGTTATGTGGTTTAGTAGATTTGTTCGTAGAGGAACCTGCTACCTCCATCTTCAGGATAAAAGAGTTAAGAGGCAGGAGGTTCCTCCAAAAGTTGGAAACAGTTTACCAGGCCACATGGCATTGTAGCCCAGAAGACGATAGTATTCACATTTGTTGCTCTTAGAATGTCAGATGTTACAAAATTAAAATTGTTTCTGTTTAGAAATTTATTTTCTCTTGGTTTCATTTATTACCAGTGGATCCGCTTGTTTGTTAACGTCTGAATGACAGAAGTTAAAAGAATGTAGTTACAGTAGTAAATGTGACGAAAACCCCCTTTTATCAGAAAACATGAATACTTTGTAAGTTCTGAGTTTCTCATGACAGTAAGCATTTTGATCACAGTCTTCTGGCATGTGATGCCGCATAGTGTAGTAGAGAGGATGGAGCCAGGGAGTTCCCCCAAAGTATCAGTACCTCTCTACCATAGAACATGGTGACGCATCTCAGAAGACTGTGATCTCAATGAATACTTTGAAGCATAGAGTGACTTATGGAAAATTGTGTAACACCTTGTGTTGAGTTATGCAGCAATGCACCAGTGGTTTGTCCCCAGTGTAAATGTAGAAGAGATTGTGAGTTTTGTTAACAAGTTAACATGTTAATTGCTTGAAGTGAATCCAAATTACCTCAAGAAAAGAAATTAATAATATTTTTGCAGCATTTTATGACTTATTTGAGCGCTGAATTTATAGTTGGCTCAGTTACATTGATTATTCATGGCTTTTAATGGAACTAATTATTTTGATCTTTAACTTAACTTAAAACTTAACCTATTGCTTATTTGTGGCTTTTCCTCCATACCGGAAGAAATGGTGTTGCTACTGTGTCTTCCGTAAATGGCTAGTGACATTTTGTTTGTAGACAGTTTAACAGTTATAAAAATTCCCATTGAGTAAATTGTGGAGTCCCTTATGGATTCGCAGAACAAGACATCAGCCCTCCCCCCTGTGCATTCAATAAAATTCGTGTGTTTTCTCACTTCCCTTTTCATGTCCACAGTGGCCCTGAATTGAGATGTCTTTCTCATGATTCCTCGTCATGGATCTGAGTGACCACACTCTTTGCAGCCAATTGTAACCTAATAGCATCCTCAACCCCAAAGGCAGTGGTAGCGTGTTCCCCAAAATGTCATTATTGATGCACAGTGTCACCGTCCAGATGACCACGTTTTGAACGATTTTACTTCTGTGACACCAGATCAAATTTTTTTTAAAATTGGACATCGCGAAAATGGTTTAACTGTGATGTAAAAAGTACATCTATGGGGTCCAGACACGATCTGGCCATGGTAGGTCGAAACGTCAGGGATGTGTACGAGAGGTGGTTTTGGTTCACTTGAATGTGTTGTGTAAACGTGTGATGTAAACAGTATGTGTAAATGTATGGTAATAATGTTACTGAGCTTATGTGTATTTCTGTGCGTTTCTGTGCGCTATGTAAGTGAAGCCACGCAGCCAAGATGCTCTTGTACATGGGGAATACCAGCAAGAATTTGCACTGCCCCTTCCAGGTTTATGGGGGGGATCAAAATGAAAAGGGGGGAGTAGTCTACAAAATATTAATACCAAAATAAATTTTATAGCAAATCAAGAACAAAAGTTTAGTAACAAGACCCAACAGAGAAGAATAGGTGGCAGAATTTTAATAGTAATAGATTTTGGATAATAAACTGTCATGAAGGAATTAATCACATACTTTAAAGCAGTGTTTCTCAACCGCCAGACTGTGGCCTGGTGCAAGGCCCAGCGTCAATTATACCAGGCTGTCATTTAATGAAAAAATAATTTACAGGGTCGCAGTCTCACAAAGTATGAGAGCTGCTACTCTGAGGTTAGAATGGTGTTTTAGAAAAATGTATTCTTCTGAGTACTCTAGTGCAGTTAGTACACATAATTATTAATGCCTTAAATATAACTTTGTAAGCAAATTTTCTTGTTGTCCCCCCCACCCCCCACCAATTCTACTAGCACCCATGTAGGAATATGTCAGGTATCAAGTACTAACTGTGTATATCTGCTGGCACAGAAATTTTAAATACATGCCAGATGTCGAACACAGTGAAATCCCTCTTTAATCATTCTCTGTGGAAATTTATTTCCTTACTACTAAATCAGGGTTTTCACTCAGTGGGGGTTATGCAAGGTTACAACAAGAAACTGTCCGTCTTCATATGATACATCATGTACAGTTGCAATAAAATAAGTTATTTTCTGAAGTAGTTACAGAAACTGTTTCTGCACACACAAACACAGTTACATAATCGGTAATATCAAATTAACTTCTGAAATAATTAATGAAATATGAAATAAACACTGAAAGAACCTCAGTCAAGAGTGAAAGTAACTGCGATATGGCAGGGAGCATGGTTTCAGTGCGCGTTCAGCATGTAACCTCGCACACCGAAGATTTGATAGGAAAATCAGGTGTTTCAGTAACGATTCCAGGCAGAAAGAAGATATAGATATCAGATGCTGTCACGCTAAATCCAGGTACATTTTCTGGAAGGTCAGAAGTTCCTTGCACTAAATTTGGGTTATCTACAGAATCAGAATTCATTATATACAGGAACACGTTTTATTGTTTATATTGGGTTTAGGCTGGGACCGGAAGAGATACCCATTATGGGGTTTCACAAAATATAAATGAAAATGTAAAGTTGTCTCTGTGCTTAGTTAATGAAGCACGATGCCATGAAGTGATACAAGGGAGTGGAGGCATAGCTCCACCATTCTCGACCTTGGAACTAGTTATAGGTGAGAGGTCAGCTTCACACCCCAACCACTTCCTTCCCAGGGAAGGAGCTTCCGTTACCCATTGGATAGGAGTCAGGATGGGTCCCAGGGCTGGTCTGGATGCTGAACCCTGGCCATCCACCCTCTAGCCCACTTCTGTATCGACTGAGCTATCCCAGCTCATTTCACTAAATACAGTAAAATTAAATAGGGGTTTCACTGTAGTAGCCATGTTATAGTATAGAATATAGAGAACTACATGAGAGTATAGGCTGGATTCAGGTGGCTCAGGACAGAGTCTGATGGTAGGTTTTTGTGAAAATGATGATCTTTCAAGGCCCTTAAGCATAAGGGAATTCCTTGATTGAATGGTTACCAGTTTCTGAAGAAAACCCTGTACCACTGAGTACTGAACTCCATGCAAAGAATGTTCTGAAAGAATTTTCATTAGAATTAAAACATCTATGGCGTGGCCAGGATAGAATGTTGTAGCGATGCCTGACAGCCGTAGGTTGAAGTGTCTGCTGTTATGGCATGGTAATGTTGACTGATTTGCAGATGATGGCACGACAGTGCAGCCAGCTATCTCGACACAGGCAAGCGACACCGAGCATGGTGTGGAGGAGATCACACCAGAACTGATTGAGAGACGACAGACACTGATACCGCAAGATGATCTAGAAGGTGAAGTTCAGAGTATCCTGTGAATTACAGCTCTTTTTCATGGTGATTTGATGTCTGCGTGAGGTAGCAAAGTGGTAATTTTACTCAGATTTAGGAGGTACCCAGTATAAATCCCAACCAAGGACCGGAGCTCTGACAGGATTTTTTTTTTTTTACAGTTTTCACCATTTAAGAAAGTGATGTAACAACAGTATCTTGAATTCAGCTACAATCTCTTCTACATTGTTTCCACCCATAATCATCATTTTTCTTCATCATCATCATTCATCTCTCCCCCTCAGCCTCATAAGCAGCTGAGTCTGTTCTAATTTCACATATTCTGTCTCTTCCAAGGCCTTCTTCTGTCCGCATCCTTTTGGTTTGCAGTTTAGAATCTGGTTCAGTGTTCAGTCATTCTCTTCACATGGATCTTACAGTTTTGTTTCTATTCATCCTTTTCATTTTGTGCTGATTGAATTTTAACTTCTTCCTAATGTCCCTATTCATTCTTCAGTGCTCAGTATCCTTTCTCAGTTGAAGGCCAGGATTAACATATCGCTCAGGTGATACACAGGCATCTTGCTGATCCGTATCTCGTTCCAGGCATTTCTCAGCCTTCGTTATTTTGCGGAGATTAGCTTTTAGTTAGGTCATGGCTCCCCACTTCAGAGCCTCAGGTTTCTGGGTGACTTCATGTGAGATTCTTGTTTTCCGTGGGACTGGAACAGGTGCTTGGAATTTCTGTTGTTCTCCCCTGTTAATAGCCATTCCACCACCCCTTCATACCCATCTATCACCGCCCCCTGAGGTATGCGATAGGCTTGATCAGGCAGCGCATTGTCACATCTTTGGTTTAGGGTTTCTTGTGTGACATGAAACTTTACTGGTTACAGAGTTGCAGCTATCACACAAATTGAGAACCAGCTGTACCTTAAAAGACTATTACCAATTCCTTCCATATCCTATACACTTCATTTACAACTGACCTATTGTTTGACATTATATGATGCTTGTAGTTGGGTAAGTGTCATTAAATAACCTGAAGATATCTTATGTTCCACTTTTGCCATTTTGCCTGGTTAATATTGAAACAGTGAAAGAATTTTCTCTTTTATTAAATTCAAATAATTTTCTGTTGAAGTAACGTGCAAGGAAATTGGAACATTTCATATTTAGGCTCTGAATATTCTGAAGAGGAGGAGGGTGAGGAAGAAGAAGACTATGATGACGAAGAAGAAGAAGAAAAGCCACAGAAAAGAGAAACGTACGAAGACTATGTGACAAAGTATAGACCACAGGAAGTGAAGAGAGCTTTACCTGCAGAGAGTGATGAAGAGGAGGATGAGGAGGAGGAAGAAAGTGAGGAAGATGAAGAGGCAGCAAGAATTATTGGTAGAACACTACAAAAATGTCAGTATCTCTGTTAATACCTCATGTGACCACAAGAGTAGTGGAGAGGTTCTTTTTTTTTCCCCCTCCCCAAAATTTGTTCCTAAATTGTTGTAAAGTAAAAGTAAAGCTATCCCTGTAACAGGCCATGGAAGCCCATAGGGTTGTGAGATGTTGAGGTTCCCACATTTTCTAGACAGTCGGCTCATAGATGGCAGTAAGTCTGGATCTGCCTCAGTCCTAGGGTGAGAATGTGTGGAGGTGCCTACTAGAGAGATCTGATCTCCGTCACCAGATTGGGTGATGTTATGTTCCATTCAGAACACCAGACAATGGACAAAGTCCAGAAACCCTGTTGTTATAAACAGCAGAATTGTACTTAGGAGGTTCCTAGTTCAGATCTTTGTGTCATTGCTTGTGTTCTGCCCAAAATTATTTATAGTTTTCTTACTACATCCAAGCAAATGTTAACGTGACAGTCACTGAGACAGTTTTGAATGGCAAGTAATTTGTGTTTGTATGTTCCAAGTTTCTGCACTTGTGGTCTACATGTTTATATTTTAGTGTCTTAATCCTAGCACTGAATTGGTAATCTTACAGCTAAATGTTTTGGTATGTTCTTTTCCAAGTTCAAAATAAGTTCTTTGCTCTTAACAAGCTGTGTTCACTCATCTGCCTCACCATCTGCTGATCACAATATGGACATGAATATTAGTTGATTGTAGGATTTGAGGTTTTCACAGCGGTGACCAGGAAGACCTCTATTTTCTGGGGTGTGACGCCATGTATTTCAGTAGAAAGTAACCGACATTCTTCCTAAACATTTTGCCGTTTGTTTCTTGCTGTTTGCTTGCTTGGCTTATTCTTCAACTCTGAAGATGGAAGCAGTATGTTTCTCCATAACACTGATGAACATCCTCTGGACTACACAGTGTCACAGCCCCGAAGAAAATACTCTTAATTAATTTACCAGTGTAAATTAAATTCATCAGATGTCACATCTGAAAGGGTAGCATTCCTGCTTTGTATTTTTGGGGGTCCCAAATACAGATCTTGATACTGCATATAATTTTTTACTGGCTTGAATTTCCATATAGCCATGACAATTGATATTGCTACAGTTTGTGCTGTTGTGGTCATCCGTGAGCTGACATGTGAACTTACTGAACCTTGTTCATAAGTAATTCGCATTTGAAAATGAAATGTTCATACTCTGTCAATAGAGTTATACGTATCATAGTGAAGCAGCTATGAGTTGAAATTAAGAAAAACAATTGAAGAATTAATTGTGAGTAGGCACTAAAATTGATGAGAAAGATTTGGCCCTGAAGGGACAAGACATCAGCTTTCAGATTTAATTTACGTTCATAATTTACAAAATGCATCTGTGGAACATGTGGGTACACCTTATCAAGATATGGGATACTGCAGAACGCAGTTCAGGAATCAGTGACTAACAGAATTCTATGCTACAGTGACTGATGCTGTGATTGCTTTTCACAGCTGCACGTGCTACTCATATTACTCCAGAAGAGTCTGGAACTGAAGAGGAAGGTTCAGAGGAAGAGGAAGTTGTGCCAGTCAGAAGAGCTACAAAGAGCTCTGGCGAACAGGTAAGCAAGAACATGCTCTGTAGGATTTGAGGTTCTCACAGCTGTGGTTATGAAGAGTTTTACTTGTAGTATATAACATTGTGTAGTATTATGTAAACCTGAGTTTTCGACAAGCATGTTGCTCTACTTGCTACCTGCTTCAAACTGGTTTCTTGGCTTTTTCTTCAGCCATTAAGCTGGAGGTGACATGTTCAGCCAAAACTTAGTTAGCTTTCAACGAATTACAGTGTTATATCCCAGAAGATTGAACTCTTGAAGAACACACCAAACCAAAAAGTTCTGGGAAGAGCTTCTGCTGAGTGCTTTTATATAAATGCTTCTGTATTTACTGAGAGGCTGGTGAGAACTGGAAAGTACTTTAGATTAAAGTTTTCTGTGTTACGACACGCAGTATGGCAGGCGATTGCTGATGCTACATGTTGCTTCTCCTTGAAAGTAGAAGAACCATGCAATGAATGCTTTATAGTTACATTCACATGAAACCTGTGCCTACTTAGTCTCTGTTATGCAGGGTTATGTAAGAGCCGACATCAGCAGTAAGGACGACTTAAAAATCCGTGAAGATTTGGACCTAGCTGATGCGCAGCTGGAAGAGGTAAGATTATGTTTATCTCTGATATATTTAATGTCCCTTTCAGTTGCTAAGATTGTATACAAGTATGCAAAGCAGAGCCATCTGGTGGTAATGCTCTAAACTTGTATTCATGGGGTTCTTGGTTTGAATCTGTCAAGACAGTGTCTATCCTGACTGGGGTCTTTTGTGGTTTTCCTCTGTCCTTCCAGATGAATGCCAGTTCAGTACCTTGATTGTCCCATGACCGTATCTGTCCACATCCTTTCCAATTTGTCTTCATACTTTTTGGCGCTGTGTAGCGTAAATGCTGACAGCGTCATAGAATATTAGGGAGGATCAGCAAATAATGGGTTGGAAAGAATGTGGGAGAAAGCTGTCACAGTATGACCCAAAGTACTGTCCTGCCTTTTGCTGGAAAGGATTGAAGAAAACGATTAAAAAAATATCTATGTCACGATGGCCAGTTTCAGGGCTGACACTTGAACCAAGGACCTTCTGAATATGAAGCAGGAATGTTATCCTGTCTACCAGTCCAGCTCAAGTTTGCTTCTTAACCATGAAACATCATCAGATGACAGGTTGAGTAATTTTTTTATTAGAGAGCAGACAATTTTTGTTGGATTTGAGTCACTTGGTAAGTCAGCCCCCATTGGGTCCTAGAGTACCAGCTCCAGACTGTAGATGAGTGTGGAGCATGCAGTGGAATGAGAATTTGCAGGAGAATCTCAGGTACTCAGAGAAAAACTGCCCCACTGCAATTTTGTTCACCACAAATCCCATGTCACCTGACCTGGAATCGAACCTGTGCTACCGCTATATGATGGCCACAGCTAACCTCCTGAGTCATGGCATGGCTCCTCATCAAGTAGCATGTAAGGACTTTTATGCTTCTTATATAAGGCGCTCAGCCGATCACAGTGGCCGCAACATCTGAGGCATGAAGTGTCTTCACTTGCTTGAACGATGGAATCATGGGTTCAAATCCGACTAGAGGGATAGATGTATATATATATGTTTATTCTGTGTTTGTGTTTTTCTTTGTGTAGGTAGTGGGCTTGTGATGGGCTGATCCCCCATCCAAGGAGTTTTGCAGATTGTGTATAGGATTAAGAAACTGAAAAAGTGGCCAAGATCCAACAAATGACTGACTGTAGAGTGATAGATAGAGAATATAAGGTGACCCCTAGTTTTAGAGGACTCTTTCCAATCTTAGGAGGTCTTGCATGACAATACGGATCTATATTATGCCACTATGAGAACCTCAAGTTATTTATTTTATTGGCATTTTTTGTCTGTAGGACCTTGGCAACTAACCCTTTTTTTCCCCTTTTTCTTTCCACCTCTCCTTTTTCTGTCCCTGTGAAGTTATATTATCTGTAACATAGAAATGCTTTTAATTCTTAATTATAATGTAATTTGTTTGCTGGCAAGATCTTCTAACAGTAAAATAATTTTTCAGTACTGTGTAACAGCAGACTGCTATACCATGACACAATTGTAGCCACCAAATGTGACTAGTTCTGTGTTTTGTTCCTCAGCGATGAGGCATGCCTCATGGTGGTGAGCCCTTTCAGCTTTAGTTGATTGATACAGCTTAGAGTACACTTTTCCTGTGTGCGGAGTGATTTACATAACATTGTGGTTTTTCAGAGTTTTAATTTCTCATGACTGTACTTTGAAGAAGACACCAAGAAGCTATTTAGTGTGTTGTGTGTGTATTCATATTGGTTTTAACTTGCTCTCTGCTTAATTTTCCTCGTATTTTTTCATCAATTTTAGTTTTTGGCATGCTAATAGAATCAGCATTTAACTTAGTGAAGTTTGATAGGTGTTGTGATTCCCATAGTTTTATAGTTCATTTTTACAAGAATTGAAAGTACTGATTAATTCTGTGATTTTTCATACTCACTTCATTGAAGGAATTGTAGTTACTGTTGGAAATATGATATTGACTCCATAACAGTCTTTGGCCCTTCACAAAGTCACAGGCGGCATATCAGCATGTAATGTTACATATGTATGATTTCCGCTTTCAGGAATTCACTACGCAGAATGTTGAAGGTTTCCCAATGTTTTGCCTAATGCTGCAGTTGGTGTTTTCAGGGTGACTATCTGGTTGTTCAGTTGGTCGGTCGGTTGGATAAATTGCTGCTGGTCGTTCTTGGTTCCGAGTCCCACGGGACTCAAGACCATATTTTACAGTATCATTGTTTTGTAGATCTGATAGAGAGGGTGGTTTATGGGAGGTGAGGGTGTAATTTGATGCAACAGAGAAGTGGGGGATGCTATCCAGTACAGAATGACTGTCTAGAGGTAAAACGAAAGGTAAAGTTATCCCTGTAACAGGCCGTGGAAGCCCATAGGGTTGTGAGACGTCAACACTGCAGTATTTTTCTAGACAGTTGACTTGGAGATGGCAGTGAAGTTATCAGCCATACGTGCCGGTTGCCCTTTACCCCCAGGAAGATTCCTGTTACGCATTTCTGTTAGGGGTTGAGTCGACCCTAGGGCAATAATGCAGCTGGAAGGATTAGGTCAATTGAAGGATCCAGTGACCTCATCAGGAACTGAACCCACAACAATCCAGCCTGTAGCATAGTGCCTCAACCAACTACGCTACCACGTACCCTCAGAGAGTGACTACATAGTTGAGAGAAAGCAATGATGAAAGAAGTTCCTAGAGATTAGGTGATCAGGAAAGCAGGCAGTGAAAATGATTCATATGTAGTTAAAAAAGAGGCTGGTGTTCCAGAAGAACATACAGCCTCCATCTTCCAGGTCAAAGATTAAGCTAAGCAGGAAACCAGTTCAGTTTGCTGCTTGTTGGTTTCTTGTTCGGCTTACATTTCAGCCCTGAAGATGGAGACGATGTGTTCCTCCAAAACATCGGGCTCTCTCCAGACTACACCAAATTATAACCCAGAAGACTATAATGCTTCATAGTCCCTTCTGTGGAATCCTCAAGTCAGACAGGCGATGAAAAGTTATAGTAGCCATGTTGTTTTATGAAAAGTGGTGGTGAAAATATTTTAGTAGTCACACGGTTAGTCCACATTAGACATTACATGTTTCCTCTATTTTGTCCAGTCACACCCTCACCTCCACTGTCCTCCGCAAGATCTAGGACTTCCAAAATCTCCCCCAAAGACCGAACATGACAGTTCAGTGTTTGTTGAAATGATAGAAAACCTTGAACATTGTGTGTAGCTTATTCCTGAAAGCCAGAGTTGTGAATTAAACTGAAGTTGCATGACCCTAAGGACACAAATGGTGTGTATGTTTCTTCCTGTTGGCGATTCTTGGTCCTGTTGCACCCACATTCACCATCCGAAAACCGGACAGAGAATTTTGCAACAATTGGAAACTGTACACCATTTATGAACTTTGGAAAATTTTTGCTTTGACATGTGGCAAAATTTAGTACCATTATTTAACAGCGATTAGCAGCATCAAGACTGCATAGCGCCAAGCTATTTCTGTTAGAGGATAAATTTATAATAATAAGTAAATGTCGAGATGAACTAGAAGTTTGAGATTTCGGTGTTTTGTGTTTGTGTTGGGTTTGTAATGTATAATGTTTTACACGTTAATTATGTTGGATTGTTTTGCTGTGAGGAAACATTTGTGTCTGGTCTTTTGGGTTTTGTGTTTAATTCATGTCATATTTATTTTGTAAAGTAAAGTTTCACAATGTACAAATGATTTAGATCTGTAGGAGCTTTTAATGCTAAGGCCAGTGTATATGTACATGGTTTTTAACCCATTCAGACTTGCTGCAGATCTATTTATGTAGTTTCATAAACTCAGACACTTTGGTTCAGGTGGTTGTCATCGTATTTAATGGAAGTAAAGGCCTGTTGTAAGTATCTGGCTGTGAGTCTGAATTTGTTGTTTACCGGTAAGTTGGGATACTCGTAATGCTCTACACTAAATCCAGTTAATATGGTCTGAAGTTGTTGATTTGTATTCTTATTGTTGGGGTTTTCTCTAATGTTTGAATTTATGTGTGTGTGCGCGCACTAACAAATATGTTCATCTTATAACATATTCAACTCTTCCCATCCACTTCTCTGGCCACTCAACTCATGTTGTCATTTATATCCTTGCTTCTAATACCTTAACAAACCTGAATCATCAGACCCCTGAGGAAGCCCTGAATACATTCATGACCATCCTGAGGACAAACCCCGCTTCGCCACGAGCTCGTTATGGAAAAGCACAAGCGCTGGACCGGGTAGCGGAGAAGAGACACAGCAATTCACTGCTTCAGGAGGCAATAGATGCGTATGAGCACGTGCTAGCACTGGGGGCATCGGTTCCTGATAAGCTGTTTGTTCAGGCTGCCGAGAGGTGTATCAACAGGATGAGGTTCAAAGGTGAGAATGACATAACTCTGTTAACCTTGTTAACATATTAACTGTAAGTCAGTACCTGACAGGTATTCCCTAATGGTGGGCACCTGACTTGAAATCACATGACCCATTTTTTGTTTGTTTTGTTTTTTCTGCTTTGATTTTATCACCTCTAATTTTCATTGAAAAATATGTGATTCTGTTAACTTTAATGTCATTCATCATAATTTTTTTGCTTTGGACAATTAATTTAATCAGTTTTTAATTATTGCTAAGTAAATTGAAACAGAAAGAAAATGATGTGAAATCACATTAACACAACATTCTTACATGTTTTGTATGTTGATTTATATGTATATAACACTGGGATAGCTAAGATAGCTTGTTCAGTGTAGCAAGTAGCTATGGGTGTGATGACCAAGAAATCATGTTTGAATTCCTGCAGGGTCAAGAGATTCTCTCTCAATAACAGCCAGAATGGCTTTTGGGGCCCAGCCAGTCTATATGATACCTAAATAAGAAGTTCGCAGAATTATGTATAGAGAATGTTATTGACGTGCAGTATTTATAGATCACAGTAGGATTCATCTCAGAGCATTAGAAACAAAGATATAAATTATTATATGAGATCTCGGGTTATCCTTGAAGATTACTGTCTTCAGGGATGTCACACTGACGGATGTTTAACAGCGCTTTATAGGAATGTATTGCTTCCATCTGCAGGGTAGAAGAGTAATCTGACATGCAGCCACTATCCTGGCCAGGCTTTGCTTATTCTCTTACCCTGAAGATGGAGGTAGCATGGTCCTCCAAAAAATTAGTAAACATCTGTCAGATTACATGAGGTTGCATCCCAGATGAGAGTAATCTTAAATGAGTGATAGTTCGGGCAAGACAGAAGACAGGTGGAGGGAAGGTTAACGGAACAGTGTAGAGAATGAGTGGACACAGGTGTGAGGGGGTGCCAAAGGAGGGTGAGATCTTTTTAAGAACCACATCAGTGAAATTATCAGATGATTATAATATGTGTGTTACAGGTCAGTATCACACAGCCGTACACATCCACAAGAAACTAATCCAGCGATTTAGTGATGACCCAGCTCATGCAAACCAGTTGGCTGTTACGTACCTGATGATTAACAGGTTTGTTAGTCTCCTCTGGTGCTGAGATGCATGTCAGTAGGTCTGTTTCGAAATGTCTCTTCTGTGACGTGCATGACCTAGTGTCAGTGTTTGTACTGTTAACCCCTTGAAGGCTGAATTTCTTCTAAATGATATATAAACATTCAGTCCGTACCTCACAGGAAACACACCTGTCTCCATAACAACGCCCAACCGGTTAAAGCTGTTTAGGGAATTAATTGCTCTTTATTGTGAGAACCATATGAAACACATTCTGTGGGCAGAATGTGGAGTTAACATGTTAAAGTCGGTGGTACATATGGGCTTTAAAGCATTAAGAGAGGCTTGATGTGTGAGATTTCACTAAAAGCTGTTGTGAAATTCTTATTTTCATCTATATTGGTCCCTAATAAAGCCTAATATACTATGACATGCTTGCATTGTCCATTGTATGGTAACAGCTCAATAAAAATGTTTCCGTGACATCAGGTACAAACACAGCAATTGAGGGCATTGTTAGAGGCAGTTACTGTATGCAGTCCATGACGATGTTATATATTGAGAAACTTTGGGAAAGATAGAGGAGTTGCAAGTTAGTTGCCAGCCAGCGAGGACATGAGCCGTTGAACACAGTAACAATAAAAGGGATCTGCATTGTAGGAAGCCGTTACCAAGCAACAGGTACATGAAGACAATGGCGAACAGAGAAGACTCGGCATGATGTAGTGAATTGTAAAGTGTATAGATTAGTGAGGGAGCCATAGTCAAGCAACAGCCAGTTAAAACAGACCAAGAAGACTTACTGTGTGCTGTAGTGACAAGTTGAGTGCAAGGAGTAACAAAAGCATTGTAATTACTTGTAGTTACAAGTTGTAAGAGGTCGTTAAATTCTTTTATCAATCCAAACCCCATAAATGGACTTTGCAGTATAGTTCATAAACCTTTTTGCGGGAGACCAAAACTCGAAGCCTAGCTTTAGAAGGTTGTTAGGTTTTTTTTAAGCCAAATGCTTATCTTTTCTTCGATAAACATGTTTGACACGGTATCTGTATTTTTCTTTTGGGTGAAAACCTGGTCTCTCACTACTGCAATTGGCAGCACTGATGGTGCAGACAACATGATGGTAACTTGTAAACTATCTTGGGTCATCCACTTGTACATATGTACCCTAATAATTTCCTGTGCATATCTTTATCATCCCTGACTCTGCTCTGTATGTTAGTACAAATTCTGTAACAGAGGAAGAGGAACAGATTTGTTTCTGTGTAATTGTATTGATACTGATTTTGAATTGTGGGTGTGCAGACTGACAGATGCAAAGCGCATTTTGGAGGACACTCTGAGACGCTGGCCAAACAATGGATTTGCCCAGGTTCACTACGGTTTTATCCTCAAGACTGGCGATAACAACAACAATGCTGCAGTGGATTACTTGACACGGGGCATTGCCACACGGGAGCCAGGCACCATTGATGGGCGTTTCTTCTTTCATCTGGGAGATGCCCTCACCAGGCTTGGCCGTCACGATGAGGCCAGTAAGGTAACCAGATTTGAGCTTCTTAACCCTTATCTCTTGTAGCATTAAGATCAGTTTGACAATTGGTAGATTCTAAAGCCAGGTACCTTGTAATTCTGAGTAGACAGTTGGTACTAAACAGTTTAGTATAGCAGTAATGTTTAGACTCATATTTGGATTGTGCTTGGTTCAAATCTCGATTAGGATACCAGATATCTTGACAGATTCATCATGCTTCTCTGCAGGTTTTTGAGCATGTATCATGCATGAGAGAGAGAAAAGAAACGTGTACAGAATTTTGGTATGAAAGCCTGAAGAAAAGAGACCACTTAGAAGACTTAGGCACAGATGAGAGGTTAATATTAAAATGTCTTAAAGAAATAGCCTGAGAGGGTATGGACTAGATTCATCTGGCTCAGGATAGGGACAAGTGGCAGGCTTTTGTGAACATGTTAATGAAACTTCAGGTCCCATAAATGCTGGGAATTTGTTGAGCACCATAACATCTGTTAGCTTTTTAAAGATGACGCGCCTCTGTGGAGTTAGTGAGAATCAGTTTAAGAGTTTGCAGAACTTTGGGCCAGTGTTTGGGGGCTCTCAGTAGCGTAGTTGGTTGAGAGACTATGCTACAAGCCGGAAGGTCACAGGTTCAATTCTAGATGAGGTCGTTAGATTTTTCAGTTGACTTGGATCAGTTGGATCTGTGTTTGACACTTGATTATTTATTAGAATCAGTGAGGAATGGGACCAAAAAACATGTTATCATTGCATCTGGAAGCCTTAGGGGCCATCTACCCTCTCATGCTAGACAACATGGATGCCTGCCTTGTTAGGCCATGGCCTAATTCACCTATGCTTTTATCACCCATTCATAGTGTTTGAAAAACTTACACGCTCCTTTAACATTTGCCTCCAGGTTTATGAACTTGGAGTGAGGGAGGGTCTGTTTTTATCAAAGTATCAACGCTCGTTGTACAACGTTGATAGACTTCGAGCACAACCTTGGTGGACACCTGAAGAGACAAGTTACTCTAAATATTTCAAGTGAGTTTTGTTCTTATTTCTACCAGATTGTAGTTAGGATAGCCTAGGTGGTGTAGTGACTAGGTTATGAGTAGATGTCGAGACTTTTCTCTTCTCCACAGCATCCATAACAGCTCTGGGGCCCACCCAGCCTCCTATTGAATGGGTAGTGGGGACTGTTTACCAGGGGCAAACAGCTGGGGCATGAAGCTGACCATTCACAAAGTATGTGTGGAGCTATACCTCCATTCTCCTATACTTCTTCATGGCTTAGTGCTTAAGTCAACTTTCAGATGACATTGCCTGTACTTATTTCCTTTTAAGGAACCTCATAGCTTAATGTGAATCTTTATCGTTGAATAAATCTTGTGGTGCTATAAGGTTAGGGACTGCATTTTGGTTTCCTGGTAGCCCTTTAACCTCTTCTTTGGTATTTTCTTCTGTGTAGCTGAACCAGCTTGTTCTTGTCGTCATATGGGTCTCTTTCTTTTAAATTTCAATTCTGATGCCCTCTCCTGCTTCTTTGTTCTATCCATTCCCTTTATTTTGCCACACTGCTATAATTGTTTCTCTTCTGACTGTTAGAAAATTGTGAATCCAAACTTCTTTCCCCTCAATCAGAATAACCATTCTACCGACTAATCAGCCATTGACATTTAATTCAGTAATGATGGCTTCTATACTTTATTGTACTGTTCACAGGAAACTGCAAGATAACTGGCAAAAAATTAGAGAAGAAGGAGTGGCAGTTTTGGCTCACAAGATGTTCAGAGATGAGGCAGAGAACCTCAGAGACGTTGGAAATTGGCAGCAGTTTGAGCTGTATGCTCGAGGTAAGTTGCAGCTTGAAACATGGCTGTAGCCTGAGCATAGGATGTCAAGGAACTGTATAATATATGTATTTATAAAATTACTTCATATTCTATGGGAATGAGGGTGTCATCATCATCGGTGACATAGACCAATACCAGAAAGTTAAGTAGATTCTATTTTCGACATGTTTCTGATGTTTATACACCAGTGGGAAATGCAAACGACCTTGCAGCATCCATGCACAGTAGTTTTCTTCCGTACAGTTGCCTACACAGGGCATTACGTAGCCTGATTCATAGATGACTTGTGTTCCCTGTTGCCACGTAGTAACCGTGATGTCCCCTGTTATGTCACCGCAGGGGGGGGAGTGTTTACCGGCCGTGTTACCATAGCAGCGGCAGCGCCTCCTATGTGGGTACGTCACCGCGACAGTGGTTGCCTGATACAGTTGCTCTGCTGTTACGTCACTGTGGGGGGGTGTTTACCGAGCATTGCATAATGATGGAAGGAGTGGGGGTGTGTGATGTTACTCGCAAAAATGCAGCGTTCACGTGACCCCTACTTCCTGTTGCACCATCCACGTCACAATATGTTAGCACAAATTTAAAGACAGTGTCAGACTTCAGCTGTGCCCTCAGCTCTGTAAACCTATGCTTCGTATGGCACATTGCAGGGTGTATGGATGTATATCTCAGTCTTATTCCAGGTCGCAGAATTGCCACCAACTGTGGCAAGGCTCCCTTCACTTGTCAGCTGATAAGCGAGTTCCCTGCAGCTCGTGACTGTCGCCGTGGGCAGGCCAAGTTCAGCGTGATGCATACTGGTACCCATGTTTGGCCACACTGTGGCCCCACAAATTGTCGCTTACGGTCACATCTTGGTCTCGTAGTACCTCAGGGCACATATATTCGAGTGGCTGAAGAGACAAGGTAAGGATTGGAAATGACATAAGCAGATGTCAGCAGAATGGCAACTGAAGTGTTATGATCTTATGAAGTTGAATTAAATGGGTGAAATTTGCAGCATATCTGTCTCTTATCTATTTTGCAGTCACTTTCTAGGATGTAGCACTCCAGTACTCGTGCACCTCACGTGAAATTTCAGTGCCTCGCTTATTGAGGTTTGTTATAGTCAATTTCATAAAATGAGCTTCCAGCCAACGAAATTTAGGAGATTTGAATTAGGACGTCCTAAATATGAACGTAGAGCAATACAGTTATGCCATCCTGCTCAGTGGGGATTTACAAAGCTGTCAGGTTCTGTGAGTAAAGTTTGGGAAACATTGCTATATGTGTTCCACACCTTGTAAGTCAATGCTAACTGTGTTTTCTGAAATTTTTCTAGGACCTGGGAAGAGGGAAAGCTGTTTATATTTGATGACAGTTTTGAGCATGAGGTGTGGCACAATGGGACGACAGTGAGGCTCGTGCTCATAGTCGATGTGTGGCATCCAGAACTGACAGAAGAAGAGAAGAAATCAATGCCTGCCATCTGACATGTTCATGATATGGGAAAGTTAATTCAGTCAACTAACAACGCAGTCTTCCTTGTACCTGTGTATCGTGGATTTTTGTACTGTACAGTTCATTGATTCCCAAACTGTATTTTGCAGGTCCTCTGATGAAAGGCTCCATAGTTTTCTGTATTTTGTAGTTGGTTTTCTTTTGTGATTCCAAAACTAAAAACAGATTTTGTCCCCAGCTAAAGCTTCAAGCCGAATGCTTAATTCAGAGGATCCTGCGGATAGAAATGTTTGAGAAACACTGCTGTAAATGTATGTACAGCTCATGTACTGCCATTTATGTGCAAGGAATGTTTATATACTAATAAAACATGTACAGATAAGAGTCCAGCTGTAAAAGTGCCTTTTGGTGATATTTTTTGTATGTTTTATGAAGAATCTGATTGGTCTACTGTGATATGAAATAAATTGCATTAAATTATTGGTATTAAATTGTTTCCATAATTAGCTCCATGAACCAGAACGTTTCTTTAGAAGCCAGGACTTGCTCAGCTGAGCAAGATGTTCATCATCCTTTATGGAATATTAAGGTTTATTATTGTTTCCATGAAAACCTGTCCTGCATCAAATGATTTTATTCCTCATATCCTATGTTTTATGCTCCAGTTCATGTTATCCTCCCATCTGTGCCCAGGTCTCCAAAGTGATGTGTTCTCTTTAGGTTTTCTGCCTAAATTCTGTACATATTTCTTGTTTCTCCCATGTTGCTATCTGCCCTATCTATCTTATCGTTGATTGTATCATACTATATATTGAGGTAATTAGAAAAGTCATATCATGTGAATGCAAGGCACACAGTTGCCAAACATAACACAGGAGTGTCAGTCAAGGGGAGAAAATGTTTAAGGAAATGGAACGACCAGTTTCGGATGGAGGGTGAGTAGGTCAACCAGGCCTGAACTTTGAAGTTGATATCAAAAGTTCCTCATGCAATCAATTTACTCAACTCTCCTTTCAGGTCCACACATTCCCCTTAGCACATTGTTCTCAGATATCTTCAGCCTCTGTCTTGCTCCTGATGTAAGAGATCAAGTTTTATACCCATATAAAATAGGAGGTAAAATCACAATTTTTGTGCTATTTATAACCAGTAAGCATACTGCAGATTTGATATCTTTATGTGTTTGTGTATGTAATCCCTATTTATGATGATTGTTTCCAGCATCTTCTGTGTGGGTAAATTTAAATTTTAGTTTGTAGGCCATGTCGAGCCTGTTAGCAGCTGGAAGCTCCTCAATCAGACTAGAGAGGCGGAGCATGAGACCCATACACCCGGCCATTTCAATAATTTGCAGGAAGTTCTAAACTGATTACCAAAATATTACTCAACATAATATACATTAGAGAAAAATATTAACAATGAGAACAGCAGAAACAGTAATCATTTAATTTATTATAGTGCTTGTGCCAAGAGCTAAAGCTAATGACAATCAAGCACTTAAAATACATAAATACAGATGTTGAAGAGGAAATAAACAATATAACATATAGGCTTGGGCAAATATGAGCTATCCTTTAGGGACACCATGTTCCTTCTGGAAACTACATGGAATTGACATACAGTAATTAATAACAATTATGATAAATGTCAGGTTGTGTCACAGTGCCAGTGCAGTCCCTTAGTTCTCATGGTGTGACAGCCCCCCAACTGACAGTTGATGGCAACAGCAGTATCAAAACAATTTGAACTCCTCTTCTGCTTTGTATACTGTATCGCTGACAAGTTACACATTACAGATTAAATAATGGCATATTACAGGATAACAATCGTTTAGCAAAAGTTCAGTTTTTTATTTAAAGGAGAAACGTTAAAGGAAATACAGTAAGCATCATAGTGATCATACTTTGCTGGATAAACGTGAAAGCACTTGAACAGTCCTGCTTGACATCCTGTAAGTCGTCCCCTTCAACTACCACCCTAGAGGAATTTTCTTTGGTTGCGACATACCGGACAGCTGTAACAGTGAAACGTCATTACCCTGACAATATTAACCACCTGCTTTAACATTAAATAACCTCTCAACCTTTTGTGTCTTACATCCCAAAATGTTTTTCATGAAAAAAGTTTAGTTCTATCATAACAAAATGAAGGTCTTTTTCCTAGTGATGTACTTGTAAGTTTACAATTATGTACATTTTGGTATCATATTGACCTTTAGTGACAAACTCTCCAAAACATCTCCAAGTCATGTCATGCTTTCAGTAAATAACCTTACAGAATAAAAGTCCTGTGTGTTGAATGAGATCTCAGATATAGCAATTTTGGTTCCCATTGTAGTAAATACAGTCTAGTAACTTGTAATGGTGGCATAAACATCTAAGTCTTCACCTTTCTGATGACACCCTCAGAGATGTTTTAGATACGCAGTCCTGTTGGCGGAAATACATTTACTGTACAGCATTAATGAGAAACTTGTGCTTACAGTACAGGAAATATTTCATGTGACTTAATTTTTAGTCACTGAATTAATCACTATTCTTGAGATCTCACTTCCAGTCAAGTTCTATCGGTCAAACATGTCCCACTGATTAAGGAACTCATTAAGCTTCGGGCATGATTGCATGTTTAACAGAGAGGCCGCCATGCCTAGCATCATGTTAAGTGTATGGTATTCCCAGTTTCAAATCGGAGCAAGGGTGCTACTGGAAATTTTTCCAAGGTGGGGAAACCAGAAAATTTGAAAATTTGCATAAAAACTTAAATGTAAGCCATTTAAGAATATTTTTATAGATTTCACTGGAATTATGGGACTCTGTATTGAAACAGATAGTGCCACAGACAGGTCCTTTGGTGTTAATATTTGATAACCCTGCCTTTAGTTTTATTTCATTTTATTAATTTTACTTTTTTATTCTAAAAATCTCGGAGAAGTTCATGGAGGTAGTCCTAGGCCCACTGGGGCTGTAGTGCCAAGGGAAAAAAAAGTTATAAGAATCTAGCAGGAGATGCCTGGTTTGCCTTTCCCTGCTTGCACCCAAGGCCTTCGGACCAGCTGAAGCTTTTATGCTTTCTTCAGTCCCTCCAGGCAAATGCTGAGATAGTTGCTTTGAATGAGGACTGAAATATATCCTCCCAAATCCTTTCCATTTCAATGTTGAGCAGGTTATCCTGCATTATATAGTCTGAGGTACTGAAAACGATAACTAAACCAAGTTTAAACAATATAAATAATAATATTCCTGGAATGTTGAAATTAATACATGTAAATCTTCTGAGACAAAGAACATTTATTGAAAATATGAGTCCAGTTGCTGCCAATAGTCATATTAGAATTGAAGTCTTATAAGATGTGAGCCTGGTAGATAATACACTGACCGGAATATGGAGGCAGGGTTAAACCAAAATACTGGTACATAACCAAACTGTACAGCACTGCATACCAGCATTTTATTGCTAGTGGGATGGGACTAAGTCCCTTGTACTGCGGCCACTTCTGGCCTACTGTACCAGCCCCAGATGAAAGGTGAGGGTGATTGTGGAGCAGTTGGTGGAATGAAGATTGGCAAGGGAAACCGAAGTACTCGGAGAAAACATGCCCCAGCGTCACTTTGTCCACCACAAATCCCACTTGACCAGACCCGGGATCGAACACGTGCCACTGCGGTAGGAAGCCAGTGACTAACTGCTTGAGCTATGGCACGGCCCTACCAGAAGACCATAGTCTTAATATTTACCTCCATTGTAGAGGTAAAGCCCCTATGCTTAACTAATTAAGCACTACACCATGAATGTGTATGGGGGAGTAGATGTGTAGATCCACATTTTCTTGACCTCGGCACTAGCTGGAAGTGAGTAGTTGGCTTCATGCTCTGGCCGCTTTACCCCCAGGGAGAGAGCCCCTGGTACCCATTGGATAGGAGGTTGGGTGGACCCCAGAGCCGGTGTGAAGAACGTGGAGAAAAGATCATTTTTGACCCTACCAGGACTCAAATTTTGACTCCTCAGTTGTCCAGCCCACAGCCAGTCTCTATACCGACTGAGCTCTCCTGGCTCATTTACCTCCATGAGAATCTTGAATCTCACATAGCTAGAGATAATTTCTGAAAATTTTGTAATTTCTTGAATCGTGATTTATTTACAGAACTTTTCAACTGCATACATAGCATGGAGTAGTAGAATAATGAATTGGAAAGGATTGGGAAGGATGTGGTCTTGGTTTTGACATGGAGTCACATGAAACACCTTTCTTAACTTGGTCTAGTGGGTGCAGTTTTGCACATTTATCTTGTTCGAGGTCCATCTTACAGGAATACATGTTGTCTGTATACTTACCTTTGTTCCCATGGCAAGTGAAAATAATGGCATAATTAACCTCTTGGTCTAGAGTGTTTAGAAAGAATTCTTCTGTAATTAGAAAATTAGAACAAAATTAGAATTCAGAAGCCGAAAAATTGACAACATAGGAACTCTACAGGTAATAACCACAAAACCTTAAATGACTGGAAAATTTTCATGGTAGGTTAAAATTTATTAATTGCAAGATTTATTATTTCTTATCATGTATTTCATGTAGAAAAATAGCTGTGTTAGTAAGCACAGAGTGGCACAAAAGCAGCCTTACACTTTCACATTACCTCCATACTATTTGTGTACAGAATTGGGTGGAGTGTACTAGATAGGATAATTCACGTCACCAATGGCGTGCTTTGAAGCATAAGATTAAACTCAATTAAAACAGAGAAATGAAGAACTAATTAGCGAAAGTCTTATTTATTGAGTTTCAACAATATGTGTGTGCAGGTATATGTACTATATGAAAAGCTCATTTATGCTTATATGTATGAACTGGAAAGGATGCGAAAAGTTGTCTTTGTCTTGGCATATGTAAATCAAGACCGATTTTATATTTTATATTTCGCCGTGTTTCGTTGCCGGTGTTACTTCTGCTCTTGAATCCTTGCACCGTTTGAATGTGGACAGTGTCGGCAACGTTTCGAAACTAAATGTTGCGTCCATCATCAGGCTCGATATCGCAAGGTTTAGTGGTTTTGAACATAGAGATTTTGATCCAAGAACTAAGAAATAAATCACCTTTATTGAACTGGATTTGGCCCCAGGTACCATCCTCCCCCCCCCCCGTGGTCTATTTTACCACAACCTGTAATACATGAAAACTCACTTCGTCTGCGAAGATCGTGACAGAATATACCTTCGAAACCTCGGCAAAACTACCGACATCGACCTGCTGCAAAGACCGAAGAGTAGATTCAGCATGGACATGGTCAATGCAGAAACATTTGAGGATGTCCTCAGTAGAAACATAAGCTTATTCAATTGTATGTGTGAAGCAAATGGCGCCTGGCTGTGAGTACACAAAATTTCAAAGGAAACTCCACGATTTTCGGACTAGGGTCCGATTTCCTGACGTTAGTTTTGTGTCTCAACTGTAGCCACATTTCTGGTAGCAGAAAAGTTTAATTATCTCTCTCCTGCTTATCAGAATGACGTAAGCTAAACGTTTAACAACAGATGGCCTCTTCAGACTCCCTGTAATAAATCAATAACTTGATTCTGGTCACTAAACTGCTGAGTTATAAATATTAACCGACGTGACTGGCCTCAAGTGGCGTAAATTACAGTTCTGAGTTTAATATGCAGATTAAGCCAAGAAAGCAGAGCTTAGCTTACTCTTTGACACTGAAAATGGAGGTAATACATTCCTTCGAAACGTCGACGAGCTTCAACCTGACTACATGGGTTCACAACCCAGAAGCTAGTACTCTCAATAGTCACCGTTGCGAGACCATGACACCGAATGTACTGGCTTGTTTCCAGTTTCGTGTTAAGGGACACAATTCTGTACCGAGATTCAAACCATTCCCCTTCGAAATGATAATCAGAGTGGTTATAGTCTCGTCATACATTACAATAAAAACCCTGCTCATACTCAAGATAAAATTATCCGTGTGTTTAAGTAAACATCACTCCATGAAGACGTATTGGGGGAGTGAAGGCATAACCCCACAAATTCCCAACCTCGGCACTAGATAGCTGTGATCGGTCAGCTTCGCGCTCCGGCCGCTTCACTCTTGGGGAAAGAACCCATATCACTGGGTAAGCTCCAGGGCCGGTTTGGACACTGTGGTAAAATCTCTTGCCCTTGCTGGGAATTGAACTCCGATTTCTCAGTCTTCCAACCGATAACTATACTACCTGAGCTACCCGGTTTCTGTACATAAATTTATGTGTCAATTCAAGAGACCAGAACTACGTTAGGCTATATGGTTCTATATTTCTCCTGGCATCACCTGAGAACCATTGGGTTAGGCCTGCTTGTTGCCTGCTTCTATTTGCAATTGAATTATGTCTGAAACATCTTTGAAATTGCGTCATCATCAGATAGAGACGTAGGTCGTTGTGTTGTTATTAGAAATTTAATACATTTTATTTTCAACATAAAATGAGAACTTACAAATTTGCCAAACAGGAGATGTCGTTAGACGCACAGGGACTTTCCTTCCGTAAGGTTGGCTACTCTATGCATGACGTATCCTCAGAAATGTTTTCGACAGAGAATAATCTGACATATCCAGTCTTTCTTTCTTTTATAGTCACACTTCCAAGTCTCCTTGGAGGGATTTCAGTTCATGTGAATGCCTCCAGCAACACAAAACAAGACCAAGAAAGTGACATACAGTGCCAATGCCTTTACAACTTGCTGTCCTGCAAGTGCATGTAATCTTTACTTGTTTGTTTAACGACGCTGTAAGTAGCTCAGATTATGTAGCATTTAATGGAAAGCTGATCAGCGAATAATAAATTTGGAACGACAAGAAACAAAAATAATGTTAATCTAATTTGAGGTAATATCCCAGAATTCGGCTGAAGCGACTTCAGAAAACTGCGACAGACTTTAATCAAGATAGCCCTGTGTTCGAACCTGAGACTTCTGAATGCGAAACAGAAATACTATCCACTCTAACACGACGTTTCGTATCTGTAATAACAAGTTGTATAAAAAAATACTTCCTGCTTTTCCTTTTCTTTTCGAGTTGTAACATGAGGGTGTGTGTGGCATGTGTATTCAGTACAAAGGACTTGTAACAACATGAAATAATGTCACTCTTCGAGTGATAAATGAGTTTGAGGCTATTTCCTTCTTACCTTCGCCATTTTCCAGCCTGAACACCGTGTTGTTTACGTAGAGCGTTACGTTGGTGGTCTGCGAGATCTTGTCCTTTGAACTGCAAAGGCAAGGATTAGTGAGACCCATTTAACACCTTAAATCTAGGAGTACCAAGAATCGAAAATTTCTACATTAACAATAATTGTTATTCGTGACAAAATGTGACACCTGTTGACAATTCATCCGCTTTGCAATGGCAAGAAACACGGAGTTATTTCCTCTCAATATTAAATTATTAATCAAAGTGTTCTTATTATTTACCTCTGAAAAGCTGGTAAACCTGACAACTTAAAATGGCGGCTTGATGTTGTAGGAATTACTGCTGGCATTTGTAGAGTTAAAGCATGTTGGCGTGAATGAAATAACCTCACAATCTCTGAACATGTACAAGAAGTTAAGTAATAAAAAAGTAAAGGTAAAGCTATCCCTGTACCAGGCCATGGAGGCCCATAAGATTGTGAGACGTCGAGGCTCCCATATTTTCTAGTCAATCGGCTCAGAGATGGCGGTAAGACTGTCAGCCTTACGCGCCGGCCGCCCTTTACTCCCCATGAAGATTCCTGGTAATCATTTCTGTTAGAGGCTGAGTCGACCCCATGGCTATAGTGCGGCTCGAAGTGTTAGATAAACTGAAAACATCCACCTCATCGGGAATCGAACCCGCGACCTTCCGGCTTGTAGTATAGTGCCTCAACCAACTACGCTACCGAATGCCCCCTGTTAAGTAATAAATGGGATATAATTAATAACACTAATTAATCAGAGATCTTAAATTTCCTCGTCATCCATCTTGTCTGACTCGAATCCGATATCGTCTTTAAATAACAGAACAGTAACTCAGTCAAGAAATGCATAGCAAAGCGTAATAAGACGTAGCTGATCTTGAATATTTAGCAAAATGTCAAGATATTTCTTTCAAAGTGCATCTACAGGCAAACTTTACAGAAATAAATTTCGTTTCAGTATGTTCGAACTTCCCACTTCAGTATGAATAATATCGAAAATAGAGTCCAGCTATTTTCTGGCAATGACGTAATGCTCTACGTCACTAACTGGCGGTGACGCCGCGGATGGAGCATAGCTACTGAAAATGACTAAATATTTAGATGGGTCTGTCAACAGTGCCGTTTTTGCTATCCCCTAGTCATAAAGATGACATTCATAAGTTTCATGACTCTTACCTGGTGTTAACCGTGGAAAGTGTGGCTTCTATCATACTGTCATTTTCTGTCTTCACCAGATCTACAGTCGGACAGTTCATTGGTTCGTTGTTCTTGTCCTGTTTAACAACTATCCACCTTCCCAGGAGCTGCAGTACACACAGAAAGGCCTTAGTAAAACGTTCTCTTATTTTGACTATTTAAAACAGAGTGGTAACAACATATACCACTTGCCTTAACTTTAAAAAACTCTGAAATTTACTAACACAGTTTATCCATATGTTTGGTGGGATTCACAGAATAAAAAGCTATAATTTCCCTAAACAGCGTTAAGCGGTTGGGCTTTGTTATGGAGGAGTAGTGTGTTTCCTGTGAGGTACGAACTGAATTTTTAAATATTGTTATCATGCATCACGCCCGTTCAAACATTTGGATCGCGGGTTCGAATCCCACTCGAGGTATTGGTGTCTGAGTTTATCCTGTTTGTGTTCTGCGTAGGTAGCGGCCTTGCGACGGGCTGTTCCCCCGTCCAAGAAGTCCTCTCGACTGTCTCTAAAATTAAGAAACTGAAGTGACACGGCGTTTCACTTATGCCCTCTGCTCCAGAAGGCAGCAACAGAAATTAAATGAATGATTAGGTTTAAGTGGCTCTGCTTGCGCCCTGCTTCATTCTGTTTTCTTGCTTGCCTTAATTTTAACCATGCAGATTGAGGCCACATGTTCCTCCGAAACGTCTGTTGACTTTCAGCTGACTACATGTCATTATATCCCAGAAGACAGAAATGTTGATAACCAGGGTTATGAGAAACTCAGATCTTACACGATTCATACTGGATAAAATTTGGAAATATAAAACCAGCTGGATTCAAATGTTGGCAGAGGAACAGACTCAAGAAACCATTTAAAAATTACAAATTCTCATGACCCAAGAAACCAGGGAACACTCTGAAGGGACAGTTTGACAGATGGGGCTGGGACGGGTCAGCAAGCTGACTGCTTGTGCTGATCATGACGATAATCTGAGCTGATGATTCTTCTTTACTTGCCCTACAACCCTATGCAGGTCTTGGCCTCCACAGGCTTGGAAATTCCTTAAAAATAATTTTTTTCCCTGTGTGGGATAGTTAGCCCCACTCCCACCCCCCAACCTGGAGAACCAGGGACTACAGTTCATTTGACCCCTACCCATTGACCTGTCTGGCATGAGTGGCCCTACCAGGAGCTTGAACTCCCGCCAGCATAGCTCTTCGGGTTATTAGGGCGTTCCAACCTCCTCTTCTTGATAAGTTGGTAATCCTGGTTGAAGATCTGAGTTCTTGATGGCGTCGTTAAACAAACCACAAACAAAATGAACTATTGCTTGACATGGAAGATGATGGAAAACTTAACCGGTATACTTTATTACTGTTAATTTTGCAATCCTTATATCATCTAGAAAACTTAGCGTCTAATGATACGACGATTGATGACTGATGATTGGAAAATGTTTGAAAAGAGTTGTTTTGGTCCATCTATTTCTATTCCGACATTTTCCACGAAAAGCTTAATCAGAAGAACCGGTCTCCAAGTCAAGATTCGAAACTTTATATTTCCGAATACAAAGTGCCGCTACACCAACTTGTTGGGTCCCTGTAACAGGCTGTGGAGGCCCATAGGGTTGTGAGACGTCGAGGCTCCCACATTTTCTAGACAATCGACTCACAGACGGCGGTGAGGTTGTCGGCCTTACGCCCCGGCCTCCCTTTACCCTTAAGAAGATTCCTTATACTCATTTCTATCAGAGGCTGAGTCGACCCCAGGGTCATAGTGTGGCTGGAAGGATTAGGTCAATAGAAAAAGATCCACCTCATCGGGACTCGAACCCGCGAGGCTTGTAGCAATGTGTCTCAACCGACTACGCAAACTGCCTGCCCGTACTTGTTGGGTTAAATGGTCTGATTTATCGATGATAATGGTGATTTGATATTACTTACCATATCAACTGTAGGTGGCTCCGGTGTGGATTGCCCCCGGATGGTAACGGGGGGGCTGACGCTGCAGTTTGCAGGGTAGTACTCCGTTGCTGCTGACTTCGCCGTCAGGCAAGACGCCAGTAGGAAGAGGACACCGATCGCCATGGCGAGGCCAGGTACTGACAGCTTGTCCAGGCCCCAGTTTAAATATACAGCACACAGGGAGTCACTGGTTATCGAGTGGGCAAACAGACCCTGATAAGCAGATGCCACGGAGATTCTGATAAAGTGGACAATACAATCAAAAGGACTAAGCCAGCACAGTCTTAAAATGTCCTCGTTTAACATAACCTATTTTACGAATGTTCGTTTTGCCTCTGTCGTTACAGACAGATGACATGGGGCACGCTGTAGCGTAGTTGGTTGAGGCACTATGCTACAAGCCGGAAGGTCGGGGGTTCGATTCCCGACGAGGTCATTGGATTTTTCAATTGACCTAATCCTTCCAGCCGCACTATGGCCCTGGAGTCGAATCAGCCTATAACAGAAATGAGTACCAGGAATCTTCCTGGGGGGTAAAGGGCAGCCGGCGCGTAAGGCTGACAACCTCACCGCCATCTGTAAGCCGATTGTCTAGATAATGTGGGAACCTCAACATCTCACAACCCTATGGGCCTCCAAGGCCTGTAACAGGGATAGCTTTACTTTACATTTACAGATAGAAGACAGTCATTGGTCGCTTCTGTTCTAAATAATTACGCAAAAATATCTTCTCCATATTATCGGTCACATATCCAGTCTACGCTATGTAATCTAGCTATTGAAAGCATCGTTAAATAAACCACAAATAAAAAGCAAACTAGACCCATTCGTGCTACATGTCCCGTTCTTGTCACCCTCCTTCAATTAATTTGTAAATTTTGTAAAGAGCACAAATTATGAAACTCCTCGTTATGCAGTCACTTCCTCACATTGTTCTCAGACATCCGCAAGCTATGTTATTTCCGTAAAGTGAGAGACCAAGTTTCACACCCATATTAAGCAGTAGTTAAAAGCACAGTTTTATACATTAGGGCCCTTATGTTATAATTCACAGTTATTTAAGAAAGTACTGCGGCATATTCGCTCAGAACAAGAGTTGTGGAGTCACAACAGTCGGCCGTTACTAGGTAGAGGCCCGTAGACAACAGAGGAATTGTGTTTTCTGCGCAGTCTGTGCCGAGATGTTCTAAGCAGGACAAGTTAGGAATGAGTGAGTCAGAGGACCGCTGCGGTTCAGTCCTGGTGAGCTGAGGCTGGGGTCAGTTCGAGAACCCAGAGGAACGGGAAAGTCCGCCGTTGGAAGCCGCTACCAAGCAACAACTATTGAAGACTGTAACAGACTGAGAAGACCTAGTGTTTCCCATAATGAGCTGTGACGTGTGTAGAACGGCGAGAGCATAATTCATAATTGACAGCACTATATAAGGTTCCTTGGATGAGTGATCGGTCCATCTCAAGGCCACAGCCTACACAGGACAATACAAAAACAGGCAGAAAGAGTGACAGAGGGTTGCCGCAGTTGAGGTGACCCTGCCAGTGGCTCTTGAAGGGCACAGGGCAAATACCACAACAAGAAGAAGATTCCTGTCGTCTGGGATGTGACGTCATATATTCCGGTAGGTCCCGACGTTTCGGACGAACCTACTGTATCCTCAGATTACCTTCAAGCGAATCGACTATAAACATCTACCATACTGCACGATGTCAAAGAGCGGAAGACAGTAAATTTATTTTAAACGTAGTTTCAGATCAAAAGTTTGTAGCTTTCTATCTTATTGTACCTTGCAAACAGAATGCCATCACTAATGGAAACACATAGCAATGCCATATGTTTGAGATTATGGTCCTTTGGGGTGTGACGCCGTGTAGTAGGGTAGACTGGTGGCAACGCTTAGAAGCATCAAGAACTTCAGATGTGCCATTTCCACAATATATAATATAGTCTCTTTATTTCTTTTATATATATATATACACACGTATATATTTAAAGTCTCTGACAGTAAGGGAGGAACACAGACTGAGGATGNTGAGGGTGTTTGAGAACAGGGTGTTGAGAATATTTGGACCGAAGAGGGATGAAGTGACAGGAGGTTGGAGAAAACTGCATAATGAGGAGCTTCATAACTTGTACTCTTCTCCAAGTATAATTAGAATGATCAAGTCAAGGAGGATGAGGTGGGCAGGTCATGTAGCACGAATGGGGGAGAAGAGGAATGCATATAGGATATTGGTGGGAAAGCCAGAAGGAAAGAGACCACAGGGAAGACCAAGGCATAGGTGGGTGGACAATATTAGAATGGATCTTAGAGAGATAGGATGGGATGGTATGAATTGGATAGATCTGGCTCAGGATAGGGACCAGTGGAGGGCTCTTGTGAACACGGTAATGAACCTTCGGGTTTCATAAAATGTTTGGAAGTTCTTGAGTAACTGCACAACTGGCGGCTTCTCCAGAAGGGCTCCCCTCCATTATTGTCTTAAATTCCTGAATGTGGTTTCATGCTGCTCTTCAAATTTAGTGTTTTTTTTCTTTTCCCGGGATTCATCCTAAGGCACAGTGTGTCACCATCATGTTGTTTCGTCATCAGTAGAAACTTACCAAACTGTGTTTGCAACATGCGATAGGAAGTAAGGAAATATGACTATACCGGAGATCTCGCTGAACGAAGAGAACTTTTATTCTGTAATGTTGGCTACGCATGATATGACGTAGACACAAGGATGTTTTGCACAGAGTATAACATAAAGGAAATTTTACTGTACGTTGACTTTTCCAAAATACCTGATGAAGAGAAAATCAATACATTATCTGCCAGGGAGCAAACAATCTTTATCCTTATCTACATAATTCCAAATGTAAACTTTATCTCTCCACTTTCATGAATTTTGTCTGCTGCGAAAGAAAACAGAGCACTAAACATCCGACTTCAATTAGGCGTACATGCAATTCCAATATAGCTTGTGTACACAAACACACAGTAATTTCTTGTGGGATTTAAGTTCCCGCTGGGATAACCCTGGGATATGATACCGTATAGTCTGTTAGAAGTTTGCCGATATTTCAGAAAGACGTGTGACCTCCATCTTAAAGATGGAAGAGTGAAAATGGAGGCAGCATAGTCTCCCGAAACGTCGGTATACCACGAGTCTACATAGCGTAACATCTCAGATGCGTGTAGTCTTCATCTGCATTCTAAAGGGCTCTGAATATGGCAAATTACAATGGTTCAGAGACTGATATTCATTTCATTATCAACTGCAAGAATACCTCACCGCCGCCTGCAGTGAAAGAGAGATTAAAAGGAGTGGTTTATACAGGATGTCCGAGGAGGAAAGGTCAATATTCTGGGAGGTCATAGTATCGGTCGTTCTAAGCAAAAATTTGTATATGTACATGTGTCCTATTCCGAACGGTTTCCAAGATAGAGCTGTTTCACTGTACAGTACACTGTACACTGTACAGACGAGCAACACGCCATGTCCTCACACGAGTTGCACCGAGATAGAGCTATTTCACTGCACAGTACACTGTACAGACGAACAGAACGCCATGTCCTCACACGCGTTTCACCGAGATAGAGCTATTTCACTGTACAGTACACTGTACACTGTACAGACGAGCAACACGCCATGTCCTCACACGAGCTGCACCGAGATAGAGCTATTTCACTGCACAGTACACAGTACAGACGAGCAGCAC